CATACCTACAATTGCTAACTCGTCTGACCCATACCTCGTCTGGTTCATACCTACAATTGCTAACTAGTCTGACCCATACCTCCTCTGGTTCATACCTACCATTCCTAACTCGTAAGACCCAAACCTCCTCTGGTTCATACCTACCATTCCTAACTCGTAAGACCCAAACCTCGTCTGGCTCATACCTACCATTCTTAACTCCTCTGACCCATACCTCGTCTGGCTCATACCTACCATTCTTAACTCCTCTGACCCATACCTCGTCTAGCTCTTACCTACCATTCCTAACTCCTCTGACCCATACCTCGTTTGGTTCATACCTACCATTCCTAACTCGTCTGACTCAAACCTACCATTCCTAACTCGTCTGGCTCATACCTACCATTCCTATCTCGTCGGAGTCATTACCAATTTGTCTGACTCACGAGGTTATGGTTACGATGACGTGATGTTTTGACGCGAAGATGGGCCAGTAAAGGTCACTGTCAATTTACATACAATACTCCAGTACGAACGAGTAATACAAAATCCGAAGGTGACTTTAAATCTAACCCGAAGTTATCGTTTCGTTGTAATTTATTGAAACTGCATAGAAATGCTCTAGTCATCAGTGTTGACATTTTATTTGAAGTTATTCGCTTACAAAGAGAAGGTAGGAGTAAAATAAACACTATATGTGCAAACAATGATATACACGTGCTTCAATATGTCCTATCTAGTACCAAGGGCATTACAACGTATATAAGGTATTATATAACAAAGGTAACAGTCCACCGATAGTTCTCAAAACGACCTGAAGACAGCCTTTAATGAGTGTTTCGTGGGCCCCTCCGACATCCACACGACCCCACCTCTCTGATTGACCAAGGTGAAAGCAAAATTTTCTTTACCGAATTTTTACCCGTAACACAAAGGCATTATTTTCTAATCTTTGAAAAATAGGAGTATCGGGATTTTTCGGTTTTTTTTCCAAATTCGGGAGTTGACGCATTTGTAGAACATCTAACATCATCTGAACGCTTGCTTCTTTCAATATGTTTTTTTATTCCGAAGAAGAAGAGAGTAGCGAAGGGTCAATTGAACCCCTACAACATGCGTTCATGGTGTTATGAATCTACTTTTATCTTCAAATATATAAATGAATGCAATAATTTATGCCACAAGTGATCTGGGTATTTGTGGTTGTATTGAATGCAATGTACAAATCATGGTTTGTCTGCTAGGATGAGTCGATGGGCTCAAAGAAAAAACGACTTTGAACTTCAAGGTCTTTATTTCGGTGTGGCTTGAAGACAAATTTATCAATATGACGATACATGTACTGATATATCGATGTTAAGATAAGTGGAACCCGGATTCTATAATTGAAACTGCTTTAAAATGTTATTTTTATTCTAAAATCTGAATTGATTTATGTTGAACACGATACGACACGACATGTATTTAAGGTTATCAAATATTACGTATATTAATGGAATAGACAAGCAAATTCTCTAAATGGTTTGTGAAACACGAAGTATGTCGTGCTATAAAGAATCTGTTGATCTGTCACAATAAAAACGACTGTAAAGTACAGACTTGTTTACAAACGAGTAGTTAGGTTTACGAGTGTTATTGGGAAACAATTCTCTGACCCCTCAGGGACCTGTCATACCGATTGTTGTGTAGATTAAAACTACACACAATGAAGATGTTCTCGATATGCTACATATTTATACTGTCTTATCTTTAAATACCCTTGTGAATCGTCAACAAACACTGACCAATACAGTCAGACTTAAGAAGACACTCCTGTCATCTGAATTACCGTAGACCATTCATTGTTTAAGACCGATTTCAGTAACGTGTGCCTTTAAGAACGTCTATAAGATAGTAGTGTTTATTGGAAGATAGCTATTCACGTGTATTGATGAGCGAGTCGCCAAGAAACGCCCGTTTATGGTCGGGATGTGAAAAGGAAAAAAACCGATTCGTGATAATTATAAACAACAACAATCAAAGTTTATCACTCAGAGATAATATTGAACCAAGAAAGGAATTAAAAACGTGAGTATCTTTTTCTAACTTGTTGAATATCTGATGAGTATAGATTTTTGTTTATTAAATATTGATTTAACCGGCGCAATCACAGACAGAGATGGCTGGGGGTCACGCAGACACGAGATTACTCAGGTGTAGGATGATCAAAGTTACTGGGTTTATCCATATAAAACATTAAAACATGATTCCTGACAGAGAAAATACTCCGCGGATTCGTCTGACTGTCTGTATATCATAATACTGTGTGTCGTTTTGGTTAACAGTGAATACTTGTTTGAACTGTATCATACTTCAGTAGATACTCAACTCGTTCCATACTTGTCAAATAACTTAATTGATACTAGCACTCTTTCAATATTTCTTTGGTTCTGCCTTCAACAGTATTCCGACAAGCCATTTAATTGAAATAGTTCCTATAGTGGCTGGGAAACTTAATGTGCATGTGAGATAGGTGTTAGTCAAACAAATCCTGGTCGGACATATTTCATATCTAAAGAAAGTGATTCGAAACTCGACCATTTGCAAAGAGTCCCGTTGATCTGTATGTGTGCCAGATTATTAGTACGACAAAGCGCTCTATATAGAAGAGGTCCCTCCTGATCTTGGTTTAACTAAGAATATCGACAAGAAAAGGTCCCTTTAATCCGGATGTACCGAACTACAGACATCCGGAAAACCCCTATTGATCAGACTGATGTCACTATTAATACGGGTGTACCAGACTAATGCAAGGGACAGTTTCTGTTAATCCTATTGTACCCTATTAATAACAGAGAAAAAAATATTAATCCGGATGCACCAGACGATTTGGGTGTACAAATCCGAATTATTCTCTCGGTCTATCGATTTTTCGGTCTGAAGTCGCCCCATGGCCGATATGATAAAGTCGTTCGAACGGCAGAATAATTCTGAATACGGGTAGACCGGATTATCGACAGCGGACAAGTCTTTTTTTATCCGGATGTACCGGACTGTTGGCTCTGGATGTACTAGACTATTGGCAGTGAAGAGTCCGGATTGATACGGCTATACTAGAATATTATAGGCCTCTGTTGCTACCGAGTACCGAATATTGGGACGCGGACGGAATCTCCGACCAATATATCTGTCATCAGTGATATATGAGAGATACGATATTGAAAGTGAACCTTGCGAAATTGAATGAAATGACACAATACACAGAAACTCTCCTATATATTTATCACCAATGAATGCCCTCCTGTCCTTAATACTCCACACAAGGAACCCCAGTAGCCCAGAAAGGGAATATGTTATGTCCACATATTCCGAAACTTTATTGTGATTCATCGTTGTACTACCTTAGTATTAGTGGCATTTGATTGTCACTGATGACCATAGTCATTTATCTGTAGTGCGGTATGTACGTGAATTACAAGTCATGATCGGGCACCTGCATGTACCTGTGTTTGCAGGCAGCAGATCTGGTCTCTCCTTTAGTAAACCTTTCATACTTAAGTGTAACTTAGCATACAAAGTTTTGGGTATAAAATTATCATGTTTATTATCTAGAACGCTAATTGAAAACGTTCGGTCGTGCATCATGTACTAGTTCCGAAATCTTATGACCTGTTGAACACACAAACACGATGAACGTGCTACTCGAAACTTCTTGGTTAATTTTACCGTATTTAGTTGAGCCGAGACGGTAAACTATTAAAATGTGGACAAGACACGAGTCAAAAATTGTTTTCCATCGTTAATTGTGTTACAATGTCCAGTATATATATATATGTATAACTTTGACGCTACTAGAAAGAGTCAATGGATTGCAGCATTTGTTTAGTGAAAATATATTGCATCATGATTTTCAATGTCGCAGTACATAGCAGCAACTTTTTACCACTTTTTCATAAAGACAAACGAAAACTCTGGAATTTTACAGTAACATTTTATTGAAAACAAAATTCAACTTAAGTAATTTGTACTTATATGTGTGGCGTTATATGATTTCAAAATGATGTAGTGTTTAATACACCATGACATTAGATTAAGCTAGAGCTCATTTATATGCATTTTTGTCTTACAAATACTTTAATTCAAAACTGAAGTACACTATATCGCAATGTATCCCAACATCTCTTTGAATATCGCAATATATTGCAATGCGAAAACTCTTCGAAGCACCTACCTTAGTCGCTATTTACAAATTCTGTTAGTAATCATTGAGCTGTGGTATTCTTCTAAAGATGTTTTACCAAAACAACAACACCTACAAACAGTTTAGATTGACACAATTCGTGTTTATGTTGTCAACATTCCATCCATGCCAATGCGATGATGGACCATCTAAAGTCTGGAATCACCGTCGGAAATCTGAGCCGTGACTAATCGGATAACAGTCTAAATATAGCTTAACAAACAATGCTTTAAACTATTGTTTTGACAGATGAACACAAATATAGTTGATCAATATCTATTATTAACATTACATTGTATTCTGTCGTTAATACGACAGCCGGAGTTGACAGGGACGTATGTGATAGACACAAGGTTACAGCTGTCTATGTGGTATTACATTGTTTTAGTGCTTTTTAATTTAAACTTTGACCGAATTATAATAGTACTGTTGATAGAATGCCTATGATAAATGGGAATTGTCTACAATTAGGAGACAAAAACCCTCTTTTCTTGACCAATACAGCCTTTTTTGTTTTTTGTATAAAAAAAGACAAGGACTGGATAATAATTGTCAGGATTTAAAAAATAAAGTCCGAAGGTTGTTTACATCTATCCTTAAACGATTTTACTTCATTTATTGTGGTTAGTATTGATCACAGAAATTAAGCTAGCGGGATGGAATTTTGTACTATGTACCTGTGTTTTACAGGTTTGCAACAATGCGCATCTGAAAGTAATTTGAAGCTTAATAACTTTTCTCGTTACAGATAACAAATATATGATACAGACGGGAATCAGATTTTTAACAAACAAATACAGCAATGTCCAAGCTAACAGTCGAAGCGCTGGAACAGCATCACGAGACGAACGCACGCAGGCGTCTGTCCGTCATCCATAAAGACGGTTCGGACAGCACAGGACTGAATGTGACGGGACCAAATCTACGTCGGCTATCCCGGCCTGATCACAGACTCAGCGTCCAGTACGGCTTTCCAGGTCGGCGACCGTCCCAAGTCTCACGAACCAGTATCTCCGGATCTGTAGGACCCAAACACATCGGGATACCCATCAAATTACAGAACACATACAGACTCGAACCTCTTCCCAAAGAAAAGTTCGATCCATCAAGAGTGAATACCATTATGTATAATGTCTTGGAATCTTACCTTGACGGTGAGAAATACGACCCTAAAATGTGTTCCAATCTCGCTCAGAACCTCACGGACGTTATCAAAAATCGCGTCAAGGAGTTAGGTTATGTTCGCTACAAACTGATATGTAACGTCATTATTGGAGAAAACTCGGCACAGGGCATGCGCGTAGCCAGTCGATGTCTCTGGGACGCCAGCACAGACAGTTACGCGCAAGCAAGTTACTCCAAGGGTGAGATATATGCTGTTGCCACTGTTTATGCAACATATTTTGAATAGAGTTTTTGTTAACGTATCTTGTTGTGGTCAAATATATGGTGCCAAGTACCAAATAGAACAGTAAAGCGTTCAATGATGGATGTACACCGGGTCAAAAGTCAAGTACATGATCCACACGGAGTCAAAGGTCAAGTACACGAACTTTCGTCCTAAACCAAGACCGTTTAAAAAGGGCATCGTTATTTATTCGTACTTTAGTGAGTTTTGGTGCCTGGAATGATGCAACCAGCGGGATTTCCAAATCACCAGTATTGGACACAGATATCTTACAATAGAACAGGTATAATTCAGAAGAAGTTGACTTGAAATTCTGTTGAGGATGGCCTACACACGAATCAGAGATAAATACCAGTAATCTGTCAACAGACATTAACCATAAAAGTTAACACTGCCAATATGATATAATCCAATCACCGATTCTGTTCCGGTATCGAGAAGGGTTACATTTTCAATGTTACAAACTTACGACTCTATGAAGGGATGTCGTAACGTCTTCATTCCTATCGTCCCATCAACCTTATCGATCAATAACTAATTCTTGAAATGTTGCACATTGTAAACTACGGTTTCTTTGTTTTTGTCCAAATTTCGTGTATCATTTCATTCTATTTGTCTGTCTCCGCGGATGTTCTCAGTAGGGTGTGTTGTCTTACAATGTAGGGTGTTATCATGATTTGTGAAAACACAGCTGGAGACAGTGTACACAGAATTTGATTAGTTATAAAGATTCTTGACGTTGTCCAGATTGTCTAATTCAGATATCACAATTATTATCTCCCTTAAAATAAGGCAGCTTTACAACAAACCAATACTACTCCACAGGTATAACACTGGCTGTCACCAGTGATAGACACAATGTACACAAATCCCAAGTGTAATGTATGCTTAATGTATCATCCTAGTACTTACTGAGTGTTCATAACTGTATCTTGTGACATGTATATCAGAGTTCCGTCCAAATAAAACTATTATAGTAACCACGTGTTTGTGTATTATTCATTTCTGACCAGAGGGACTCTTAAAAAGAGACCCAATGACCCTAACAGTCACAGTGTTATTACTTTATATGACATCATCCCGAAAACGAAGTATGGTAACCTGAACACCATGTCCGTGATAAAATGTGTTTGTCAGTGATCGCAAGAATGTCTCCTCTTAGGTGAAAAAATATTCTAGTAAGAAACAGCCTGGCATTTCAACTGATCAGATGCCTCAGTTTGGTTGCTATGACAACACAGCCCATACAGTTTATTTCAATGTCCTATATACCAAACTTCATCAAAATCAGTTCAAGTTCAAATTTCAACTCATCTGAAGCAATGGTATGATTGCTATATACACCATGTTCGTGCAAGAAACTAATTTTGTTTTCGGTAACAAATCATATGACATTACACCTGTCAAACCCACCACACAAACAATCTGCATTATATATCAAATATGGTGTAAATGGCCATTAAGTACAGAAGGTACTACACCGAAATCAAATGCAATCCATTTGACATTCCACACATCCCCTCTGCACAAGGAAAGTGACTAACAAATGCATGTACAAGGACAGTACAAAACCCTATGTCGTACCTTGGTCAACTCTAGAATGAATAGTGGGTGTGCTAGTCTTTCTCAACAGTGACATCAAAGTGCTACAGTTTTCTCAACATCAAGTACCGGTAAAATATTCCCTTTCTTATGCCTAGAAACCGTGTATAACCACCATCTAAAGAAGCTGATAGCAGACATTTTTTCAAGTAAAAAGTTTGTCTTTTGTCCATTTTCAATAGCCAGTTCTGCCCTTAGAATACAAATAGAAATACTGAACTATTTGAACATCAGAGGTAGGGTCCTGACTATTCAGATCAACATTCAGAAACAATGGTCACACAGAGGTAAAACCCTTTGTTGCCTTTGGCTAACTTAAATCAAGCTCCCTTTCACCACTGCAACTTCCATTCTGAAACTTTCAGTAATCGGAGGGGTTGCTCAATGGATATCAGTTTTATTCTCTCAGCAGTAATTTAAACTCAGCAGGGAACTAAGTCCCCCATTTCAAGAGTCCATCCAATTAATATCTATTAAAGAATGTCTGATCCCTACATATCTTTAGTCTGTAACTAATCAATAGCTTCATCAACATCAGTCTTAAGTGCAGTACTGAAGGCTCAAATTACATCACGTATGGGCATAGGACACCCCATTTCCTACAACCTTGAATAAAATCTTAGAATTTTAATTGTGCCGTTTGTATTCTGTTGTTTAAATGAGTACTTGGCTACAGGGAAAATGTGTGATGCTATGTACAAACTAAGACACTGAGATCATGTTATTTTTTATATTTTATTAAAGCAAATGATACACATAAACTACTCTTTCCAATTATTCATTCAGTCACTTCATGAAAAGGGGAGATAATCAAACAGAAGACACTTGACAATTTAATCTTCTTCAGAAATAACACAGGAGACACACCATGCAAATTCGTTGTTCAATTAAATAATTAACTCAATTAGTGCTTTACCTGATCCTAGAACACAAGGACTGGTTTAGTATTAACCACTAAAGAGTACAAGGAATATCAGACATCAAAACAACAAAACGTTTTTCAGACAATTTATGAATACCTGTAATAATACTGGTAAAAATATGATCTGTGTTGTAAAAAACATCCAAAATCCAAAACATTCTAAAGTACCAATAATAAAAGCCATAACAGTTTAATAAACACATTCTAGACCTTATTTCCCTTGCAAAATCTAACATCTTATCAGCACTACATAATAAATACTAGCAATTGTGAAAATTTTGAAAAAAAGGAATGTCAGGTAAATGGTCGTGAATGCTAAGAAGGACCTGCTTCTACTTGTATGTTTCCAAATTTTAAGTTATAAAATATTGAAATTGTCAGAGAGTTTCCACTCATACTTTCAGAAAGAAACAAATCGAAATTCAAATGATCACAATCTAAAACATAAGAATATAAAAAAAAATCCATAAAGCTGTTAAGAAAAAGATTTTTCCACATAAAGCTAATTCATATACAGTTTCTTCAATATCTTTCATTCATCTAGGATATCATACGTCTACTCTTTATCCCGTCATAATTCTTCATTGGTTGCTGTATTACCACTTTTTAATGTTTCCAATACGCCTTTCATGCTTTTAACAACTGCAAAAGAAATAAATACACTATTTAACATATCTTAAAAAAGTTGAAAATTGTGATGAACACCAACATCGACCCAGAACTTTACTTGACAAGTACAATCAAGTTAGAAAATTCTATTGATACATCTTCTATTGTCACTAATATGAAATGACTGTGTTCCAAACTGAAGATTATTTTTTTCATTTTTGTGATGAATTTGCATATACTTTCAATTTTTTCATATACTTCTCTTTTTATTCTATGTTGAAACTGTCCTTAACTTAATGATTGCTTCCAGGGGAAGCAACTCTGACCTAAATTAACAGTGTGCTTGATTATTTTTACCAGACATCATTATTTAGGATCAGTCTTCAGTGCAGAAAACCAGACCAAACATATGGGTTCAGCACAACCAGAAACCAGTGAAGGACAAGTATTCAACAGAACTTGAACCTAACATCAGTGACCAGTTTTCAACAGAAGCATTCAACTTTATCATGGAACAATATTGAGCATAACTAGAAACCAGTATAAATGACCAACTAGAAGCAATGTTTAAGTGTACAACAAGAACAAGAAACCAGTATAATTTAGCACAATTACTGAATGAGAAGTCGAGTTTTCAATTAACATGAAGTCTGATATTGATTTACACAGCTAACAACACTGCTTGGATATTATTACACAAGGGAACACATGAAACATTACCAAATTAAGGTTTTAATAAGCCAACAGACTACTTACTATGGTCAGGACTATAGTAATAATACTTGTATTGACTGTTACCGTCCTTATTGTAATGGTCGTTTAATACATTTCCATCAGAATCTGAAACATAATAAGTCAACATTTAACCAAGCTGTTTATTGCTACAAATTTTTTCACTTTCAATATTTCGCTGGTGTATGACAATGTTTGGATATTTTATTCCAGGGTACCTAATTATTTACCAATAGATTATTAAATGTTATAAACAAATTTAGCCTTAAACTTGGTGTGCTTTGATTTCTCCTGTATTTGCTTTTAAGTCATACTTATCAATTTCACTTGGATGTAGACTAAAAAAATTGTGTAACCGTGTTTGAGAGCAATTTATCTCATTCCTGGGCTGACAGTCTGTCACAAAATCTCATTTGAGGCAGAGCCATGAATAAGTTGTTACAGAATGTCAGGCTTTGACTGAGATGAATTGATCTTGGACCCATACAGATTCTTTCTCTTGTTCATTATTGAATGAAAATTGCATGTAAGTTTCACTACTACCTAGTAATATAATTTTCAAATTCTTCTATTCCATTAAATAACTTCCCTTTGCAGTTTGCAGTTATACACATGGAAGACAACTGAATATGATGTCATTTTAATTGTGGCATCCTTTGGCACCAATATTGCATAAAGGTACCAGACAGATCAGACAAGACAGAAAAAAAAGCAATCGGTAATGCAGAAGATGCCCATGTCCTGTGTACAAGAAATTGATTACTGGGTAATATATACGTACCTAAAAAGAAAATACGTGGAATGTATCCCCCGTCAGGTGTAAATTTAGAATCTCCTGGCTCTTCATCATCCTATTGTTAAAGGATTTATATTTTTTATTTGGAAGAAAAAAAAAGCAAACATACAGTGTACATCTTCAAAAGTATATACCTCTGGTAAGACAAATATGATCATTTTTGGTTCTAATGTACTTTAAATTCAGATTGATTTATATGATCACACCAAACATCAATACAAACCAAAATAATTTGTCGTGAATGAAACAGATGATCCACTTTCTATGTCTTTGTACATTATAAAACCACTCACCTCAGCATTAACCATAACAAACTCCTGACTGACTTCTTTTATAGCTTGTGATGCTTCAAATTTAGGTTTTAATGCTACAATGGTAAATAAAACATTAATGTCAGGATGGAGATTCAGAACTGTTTAAATCAAAATATATCACGTGATTACTTTAATGCTAATAAACTAAGGTTATATGATAAATGTTATATTTAACATTCACTTTGAATGCAATGAATCTCTCAATATTTTGTCTGGACTCTGCTGTCTAGTCCTTTTAAGTGACACTATCAATGGTCTCTTAAACAAAAGTGAGATTAATCCTCAAGTGGATTTTAATGTGAGTGAGAATGTTGTGTATAAAGAAAGGTTTGGTCTGTCCTTAGAACCCTAGCATGATCAACATCTAGAGATAGCTTGATTACAGAGGCTCAACTATAATAGTATTGTAGTAATAAAGCCAAATTACATTTGCATGCGCCGCACCAGGATTTATGTATAATCAGCATTACAGGTTTATTTCTGAAACAAAAAACAACAGAATTACAGTTATACAAAATGGTCAAGAGTACAAACAACAAAAAGACCTGATACACACAAAACATTAAAATATAACACTGATTCATGAATAGATATAGACGGAGTTTACAGTACACTGTAGTATGAAGCATTTGATTTAGAAATTGGTACTGATAATCTTCAACAGATTCAGTGCCTTAAAAAAACTCAACAGCATATGTATATATTAAAGCACTATTGCTTTGCACTGTTAAAGCAACTTATTGAGTTTTTTTAAAGCATATATATATAGCAGATATGTATGTACATACCGTTTACTACATGTGTCAATATAACTGGTTTATAAGTTTCAAGAAGGTGAGAAACACAACAGTCTGTGCTGGTATGTTTGTGTTCATGGGCAGGACACTTTATCCTAATTGCTCTGGTTGGCATGCAATGGGCCTCTTGTATGTTATTAGTGAGGTAGACACCAGCTAATACAAGGAGACCCTGCCTCAAAATGACCCTGGTTGTTCAAGGGCAATAAACCCACCAAACAAGTATAGTAGTAAATAGATCAATTAATATTACTCATCTGTCCTGAAAATAAATTTAATGTTAGAGACCTTTTAGACTTTATCTAATACCATGTATATGTTGATAATGATCCAGGAATAAACACCACTGTAGTATATTTACATCCGTATACCTGATAAATATGTATTTAGGGAAAACTTACTCTTTCTTCGCTTGAATCAGACCATCATCTAGTTTCACCCATGCTATGTCATTTCCCCATCCTACAAAATACAAACAATATAAATTCAGACAGACATCCAACAGAAAACAGAAGAATATCAAAGAGTGGAGGTGATGTCATTTCTGTACATCAAGTCAGGTACCCAAAAATCCTTACAAAAATTCCCCTAAACCTTGTTATATCCATATAGCAAAAGTTAAAGACATTTTGTATCACATTCTTTTCCTTATGATTACAAACCATTATTGGGCTGTCATTAACAGGTAAGTATGCATTGTATTGACCAGCAAAAACATTGACACATGTATATCAATACATAACATGTCTAGGTTTGTTTTCTAATCTCATCCTGTCTATGTCTGATTAAACTGTAAACTGGGAAAACAGAACAGAAAAGGTTATTTATTTAGGCATAATTTTCTTTATAAAATGAAGACTATAAACTAGAATGAAAGAGGAAAATATGATTTTCAGTCATAATTTTTATTGCAGAAAAGAAACCTACATATCAAATTTAAGAACGCTCCATCCAATACTTCTTACGAAATAGAGTAGTGTACAAAACTTTGTTTGTCAAAATCCAAGATGGCCACCTTTCATGCAGTTTTGCTTATCAGTCCAAAAATCAAAAGGGCAAAACTAAGGACAAAAGGTTATCTTTTCAAGAAATAGTGTTTAACAATTTTCACAGTCAAAATCCAACTGTCTGCCATTTCATTTTTCTGATCAGTCCAAAATGAAATGAAATCAGAGCACAATCCATTCAGTGTTTCTCTAGAGATTACGGGCAATTTGATTAGCCAATCATCTGATGATGGTGGGCTTAAAAACTACCAGTACCAATATTTGCAAAACATATCAGATGTCTTAGTATCATATAACACCATCACATATCATTGTGCTATCAATGACAGCCTAGTCAGAACAGACCAGTCTCCATAGATCCTTGTAACTGATTTAGACTTGATAACTTAAGTGATTTTTTTCCCTGTCTTCAGCATTATCTGACCAAGTTTTGCTAAAACAATTTTGCATCTACTGCTTTTAAATCACAGATGTTACCAACCACACCAAGTACTTATGTACATATATTGTCACATACAAGATTATTGGCAAAGAACAGGCCATCTGTTTTATATTATATGATTGGCAAAAGGTGCTGCAAAGATATCAGTTGGTATAAATTTATTCACAATCTTTGTTTCAAATAGACTAACCAAAACTTAGAGTGCAGATTATTAGATAATAAAACTTTACAAAAGACTGATTGAAAAAAGTGAATGACAAGAATATACTAAAATATGTGCAACTATTACATTGTTGCATATTGAGGAGTAGTTTAGTGTCTTGTTTTAATTTTACATATTTAATCATTATCATCTTCAAACTTTAATCTAGGTGGAATTTCACCTCAACTTATATATAGCAGGTAAAGTTAAACTTAAAACAGCTGGTCCCTTGGCAGTCTTCTGAGAGCAGGAATGCAACTTTTGTTTTTTTTCATCTTTACCAAAGAAGTTTGTATTTAACACATGTAACAAGTTTATTTTCGTGTTTTTTTTTCCCAATAGAGGTATCAATCTCTGATTTTCTTTAAATAACTTGCTCACCTTTCACCAAGGCAATGTCACTGGTATATTCAGATTCTCTTTTTTGAATGTTCTGTAGACGCTCAAGTTTTAAGTGTTCTGAAGTTCAGTATAGGTGTTCTATAGATACTCTAATTTTGATGTTCTGTAGACACTCTAGTTTGTGTGTTCTGCACACTCGTTTGTAAGTTAAGTAGATACTCAAGTGTTCAGTTTAGGTGTTCTGTAAATACTCCAATTTGAGTTTGATTGTTCTGTAGATGCTCTAGTATTCATGTTCAGTACTCCGACATTCTAGTTTGGGTGTTCTGAAGAATTTAGGTAGTTTCAGGTGTTCTATATATACTCTAGTTTGGGTGTTCTGCAGATATATCTGTGTAATTATATTTGAAATTGAAAGAATCGGTTTGACCCTTTATATGAAAGCAGCCCGGCGCCGTTTTCGTTTATCGATTATGACACGTTGGATGAGAGTTGTTCGATTAAGAAATTAGAATGGACCTAGTTATCATATGTTGTCTTCTGACGAGCCTCGACTTAACCATTCAATCCTTGTCTTAAATTCTAATAATTGCAGGGCCGTCCCGATTTATATATGAAATGTTACATGTTAAAGTGCCGACGAATCGGCTTGTCCGCACAAACCAATGCAGCAGGTCCTAAGCTTAGGTGAAGGATCATGTGTGCAAGCGATGCTTAGCAAACTAAGTAATCTACCATTAAAAAAAGAAATACGTAAGACAAAGATATCACTAACAATGACTTATAAATTACCTCTGGCAAGTTCGTTGGAAAACACCAAGTAAATGTGACAAGTAAACAGGAAACACGCAAGCAAATTCATCTTGTCCGCCATTGTTGTCTTCGTTCGTGATGTTGCGTACATAATTTCATTATTCATTATCAAACTAAACTTTTGTTATCAAAATATAAAGAAATCACTATAACACTAAACGATGAAATTAATTATGTTTTGACCGAAAGGATTTGCTATCTTATAAAATCTGTACAATAACAAAAATAACTTACGGGAGTATCAATTTGAAATATATTATTTAAATAGCAATTAGGTCTACATTAAAATTTAAGTGTCCTTATTGATCCTCATAATATTATCAAGAAAAAGAAAACAAACTTCTTTCTATGGTAGATATTTTTGTATTATCATATGAAAATGTATGTATTTTAAAAAAATCCATCTTCACTGCTGAACTACAAACACATGGGTCAACATCATGGCAGACGCCTTTGGTGATGATCTTTTCAACGTATTTGAAGACAAAACAGAGACAGCTTCATCTGAAACTGGTAGTACTGAACCTGACAAAAGCACTACAGGTTCTGCTAAGACCGATGCCCAACGGTAATGATGATATCATCACACTGGTTTCTGTTTTATTCAACGTGAAATTTCAAAGAGAAATAAGAGATACTATTTGTGTACTGATTGAATTACAGCGTCAGTTGAAATTTATATTTATTGTCTTGGATCTGAACTGTAAAAACAAAATTACCATCCAGAAATAAAAAATGTGAGTTGTGAAAAGTACTGCTATTTAGAGAGTTCATATATTCAAATCTGAATGCCATTTATGCTCACGTGAAAGAAAAAAAAAAGAAAAAGAAAAAAATACCGGTTCAAAGAATTACAAGTGAAAGTAGTGTATATACTTGATTCACTTGTATTGTCACCACCTGTCAATAGTTATAATGATATAAAAAAAAGGTAAATTCTAAATTCTGGGTTCTAATTAGTGATTGACATTGGCATTTTTCTGACAGTCTTTTTGTATGCTTGTGCACATGTTGTGACTTCGGGATTCTTGTTGGCGTTATAATACTAGAAGGAATAAAGACCAGTTTGATTCACCTAAATACAGAAAACACTTAATTACAATCAAATCAGTGATAAACTAGTTAAATTTTAGCAGGGATGTATATAACAGAAGTTGTCTACGTCCCTGATTTTAGGTAAATGTGAAGACTTTTATGTTGGTGCCAAAACTAGATTTCACTTTGGTTCAAGACTTTTTAATACCATAAGAGATATGTTTCCGCTTTGATGGACCTTACCATTTCCCTAATGTGTAATATTTCAGTCTTTTAAAAGAACTACCTCAGGCACCTCCATCACTTGAGAACTGCACCGTTGTATTCAAAGTAAACAACTCCCTCAGATTAGCTGTACAACCCAGCTTCAGGTTACTTGGAGTTGTCAATGAATCATTTGAGATATCTCACTGGGAATGGTCTGAAACAATAGCTATATAATTCTTAAACTGGTACATAAATATAATACCATGTATACATGATTCACCACTAGTCACTGGCTTTTTCTCACCAAGTATATGTTCTTGTTATTGATGAGAGACTTGTTTTATGCTTCATGAAAATTTGAGGGGAGAATATAGTTACAGCCTTGTTTCAATTACACATAGCTTCACATATTCTAAATGATATTCTTTCTTGAAAAATCTGTGAGCAGAAATATCACAATCTACCCGCTAAACATGTGCATTGGCAAGAATAGGCGGGTGACCTGTATGTGTCGTGCCATAAAAGACTCATTGAACATTGTAAAAAATTGTCAGATTTTCAGTTAGTCTTACAGTCATGCCTGTAAATTAGCTTCAAAAACACCTTCACATGACATGCACGCAATTCAACTGCAATGCAATTGATAGAATGATCAGTTTCTGACTTACTTATGTGCTATTCACAGCCTGACGTCCTGTCAACATAGCAGCTCGGATTTAAAACTCGTGGTTCCCAATGTTATGAAAATGGACAGATACTGGTCTTCTTAATTAAATATTAAACTAATCATTCATAACATTTCAGAAGTTGGGAAAGTCAGTGCCAGATTTTATTGCAAAAGTTTACAGACCGTTTCCATCAGTATGTAAATGTTTGTAAACTACAGAGAAATCAACCGCATTACTTAATATCAACAGATCTTACAAAACTTATTTCCTCAGAGATTAATATAGAAACATTAAATGAAAATTGTCTGTTATTACTTTGCAGAACTGATGACCTCTTAAAAAGCATTGTGGGCAAAAGACCTGCTGAGGACAATGACAATGAAAGTAATCAGACGAAAAAAGTCAAGGCAACACCACAAGACTTGGGGTAAATATCACATGATTCTGAATATACTGATGTCAAAAACATTCAATTTTACATTTATTCTTTTGTTGTTTTGTGTGTAGAATACAACTAGACTGAATGGGTTTGTAATTCAATATGAAAATTTATGAAAATTGTATTTCAAGCACTGATTTAACTCAAAATACCATTTTGTGTGTTTCATGTAAATGTTAAAGATACATTCACCACCAACTTTTGATAGAAAATTCATATTACCCAACATCAGGACACAGCTGTATTAATAATCTTATTTACTATTGTTTGTAGACCGACGGATGTCATGCCCAGGATTCAGATCCATCGAGTAGAGACTGTGGAAGCCTGTCAACATGAAGTGAGTTTAGACATGTTGGTTAGAAATACTAGCTGACCATTTTATTTCCATAAGTGTGTACTGAAGTTACTTACATGTCAACAGCTTCTCACTAGAGGCTTAACAGTGTACTGAAGTTACTTACATGTCAACAGCTTCTCACTAGCGGGTAAACAGTGTGTACTGAAGTTACATGTAAACAGCTTCTCACTAGAGGCTTAACAGTGTACTGAATTTACTTACTGTTTTATATCTATAAGTTATTGTAAAATCTATTAATTCAAACATGTAACTGAAGTAATACATTGTATATGATAGAGGATGGAAATCTTACCATATTGTAGCATGATATATCAATAATGTGTTATTTTTCTTTTGTATATATTATATTCTTCTTAAGAAAATAATGAAAAAAAACAAGGTCTTTTGTCAAATGTTGATGAAATATACAGTGTTTACAAGATGTACATATCACAGTATCACAAGAATGCGAACATTCTTGGGTTTTTGTGACAATATCTTTGTATGTACATCTGATTGCGAGATATTTGGATAATATTATAGGTTGCTATACCACCTGAAGCAGAGTTTGTTCCCCTGAAGGCAGCATCAGAAAAACCTGCTAAGGAATACCCATTCATCTTGGATCCTTTTCAAAAAGAGGCTTTGCTATGTCTAGAAAACAACCAGTCAGTCTTGGTATCAGCCCACACATCTGCTGGCAAGACTGTTGTTGCTGTGTGAGTAATTCATTGACACTTTAGTCTACTTATATGAAATAATTGTATAGAGTGGAGTCCAGTTATAAGTTTGGTTAATATTTTAATTCTCCCAATTTTGGAATTCTGAATTGGAGTTCTGATGTAAAAAGTAAAAAAAAAATTTTTAATATGAGTTTTTTGAAAGAAACTTAAACATGACACACTCTCTTCGTAGCAATAAAAAATTAAAAAAAAACCAAACAAAACATAACATTTTATGATGGTTTTAGGTATGCTATAGCCATGTCACTACGAGACAAACAGCGTGTGATCTACACTACACCTATCAAGGCTCTCAGTAACCAGAAATACCGTGAGCTGTTTGAAGAGTTTCAGGATGTAGGGCTTATGACTGGTGATGTCACAATCAACCCAACTGCAAGCTGTCTCGTCATGACAACAGAGGTAAAGCTCTTGTAATTAACAAATAATCAAGTGTCTCTTTATCACAGAGAACTGTGGTAATATGGATATTTGGCCTGTAGCTTGCAGGTGTAAATAAGTGTTCAGCTTTTAATATTATTGTCAATATCATTAAATTTGTCATCATCATTAAATGTTATGAGAAGGGAACATTGCTCATGGGTCTGTTGGTTGTATGTCATTAATTTACTTACAATAAATGCTTTAATTAAGATATTTGTCAATTCTCTGTACTGGTACTGATTCGTGTCTGGTTGACTTACAGATCCTGAGGAGTATGTTGTACAGAGGTTCAGAAATCATGAGAGAGGTGGGATGGGTCATATTTGATGAAATTCATTATATGCGTGATAAAGGTAAGTTTTTCTATGAAACACCTCATAAATCCAAGTGATGGTTTGATCATAATCTTAATTTAAGTATGAATAAGTATGATTTCAGTGGCAGTAATGTGAGGTATTAAGAAGTATGGTAACATTAATGTAAAGAACATAATTTCACCCAGTTTTCACTACAAATTCTATTGAAATTCAGTGCATATTTTAACTGTTGATTTAAATTCTGAAACATCAACATAAAATGATAGAAGGCAGTAATTTCACATGAAATCATTCAGTGTCTGACGCTAGTCTTGCCATTCTGCTCGTAGTACCTGACATTTAATATGTTGCTGTGCATTAGAATTTTAATTCCTTTATGCTTTACCAGAAAGGGGCGTGGTCTGGGAGGAGACAATCATCCTGCTTCCTGATAATGTCCATTATGTGTTCTTATCGGCCACCATCCCCAATGCACGCCAGTTTGCTGAATGGATCTGCCATTTACATAAACAGGTAATTGAGATCATTCTGACCTGTAGCCACAAATGTATTACAGCTTTGATCTGACAAGATGGGAAATACCTGTGAAGTATGCAACTGAGCTGGTAATGGGAGCCATTCTATATACGCTGACATCCTAACCTCACTGTATATGACAATATAATTGAATTTCACATACCAGGGCCTATTAACTGTCATATGGCTTCTTTGAAACAAATATTGTTGACCTATAACCTGCAGAAATTGAATTGTGTTCAAAGTAACCTACTGTGGTAGAGGATTAATGCCACATGGATAAAGTTTAATGTGCTTGAATGTAGAAATGTTTAGTTAATGGCGGTTCCTAGAATAATGTGGCGAAGATCTGTCCAGAATATTCACATTAATTACACTAACACACCCTAAATTAATGAAACAACAATGTGTAGACCTAGAAACATGTTACTAGACACTAAGACTTGATAAATGTTGTGAAAGATTCGAATATCATTAGTTATAACAAAAGGAGGGCTGCAGTGGCTAAGTAGAGCATCTTACAGTCATTATCACTCACCCTCTACCTCTGGGTTCGAGGTCTACATAGGGCATGTGCCAGGTATTGGCTGCAGGTAGCTGGCTCTTCTCTGGGAACTTCTTCTTTCCTCCACTGCCCAAACCTGACCTGTCATTAAATGACTCTGGCTGTTGATAGGATGTAAAGCAACAATGAAACAAATACATGTACAATAAAAGTAAAACAGGAGATGTAACTCCAGTTAAGATTTATATTTCATAATTATAAATGATATAAGTATTTAACAATGATGTTAATGTGTTCTTCATATTTCATAGTTTTAAAAAACAACTTTCCAGTAACTTTTTTTAAATATATTTAAAGCTAAATGCAGCCAAAGCATAACATTTAAAGTTCAGTAAAGAAAAATTGAATCATGCTGATTCTAAGTCTATCATTTGTTTTGTTTCAGCCTTGTCATGTTGTGTACACAGATTACAGACCAACCCCTCTACAACACTACATATTTCCATCTGGTGGGGATGGCATTCACCTTGTTGTGGATGAAAATGTAAGTATGCAAAGGATGTGAGTCAGCTCCAAGTTTGGATCAAGGAAAATTAATTTCTGAGGATTTGTGCCTCGATAACTTATATCTTACATTGCCTATTTCTCTTACCTTACCTATTATTGCTGATGTTATGAATCACTGTTGGTTTGATTCTTAAAAATGATGGTAAACAGAAAGTATTGAAGATAACAGAATAAGTTGTTAGTAATCGATACACAGATAAATGAGAAAGGAAATCTGTCTGAATGAGTTAATTAATGGCTGTATAATGAATGTTGTCTTAGAAAAGGTCATAGGTCACATGTATGCTTGTCACAAATATTTCATGAATGATTCATTTTTAGGGTGAATTTCGAGAAGAGAACTTCAACACAGCCATGTCTGTTTTACGGGATGCAGGTGATGCGTCTAAGGGTGATAAGTGGGGAAGACGAGGTGGAGCAAAAGGTAAAAGATGGGTGTTGTCAGATGGAAATGGTGGTGTTCATGTTTACTTTTACAGGGGTAGGGCTTATAGTGTTATCCATGTCTTGTTCATCATGTCCTGTGCCTTCCTGTCCAGAATGAGTGCCGTATTTTGAGATTTGGTTTATATTTGTACAAAATGTCATTACATGAATTTCTAAAACTTAAACATCAAGGTAGTCAATGGTCAAGGTTAAAGGGTCAGAGGTCACATTTGACATATGATGCAAATTCATCAAGCAATACCAACAAAGTTGTGAAGATTGCATTCTCAGTAGGATATAACTATCTAGTCTTTATTTTCAGGAAATGAAACAAACTGCTTCAAGATTGTGAAGATGATTATGGAGCGAAGCTTTGCCCCTGTGATAGTGTTTAGTTTTAGTAAAAAGGATTGTGAGGCTTATGCCATGCAGATGGCCAAGCTAGACTTTAACTCAGGTAAACCCCTCTAGTTACCACTTCTTATATATGTTTTCTTAGATACAAGGAAAATAAAGTAGGGCATTTTACAATAACATATGTTTTCTAAGATATGAACAAAATAAAGGTAAAAGAATGAGATTTTAAATCAATTACTTTGATTTTTTTGCATGATTGAGTATTTTCATAGCTTTCTTTAGTTCTGGTTTTTAAGTAATTTGTTGGTTAGTTTGTATTATATCTAATTTTCCGCTACAATTTACATCAGATGTACATATGATTAAAGTGTAACCAAATTGATAAATTATTTTGGTAATGCCAACTAATTACAATCTACATATATACATATGTTTCTGGCACACAATACACGGGTGATACATGATTCTTTTGTAAACTTTTGTAATAATTGTTGGTTCCTTATTTTCAGCATATTGTGAGAGTACACTGATGTAATGTTTTTATTGATAGGGCAAATTTTTGCGGTTTTACCAAAAACTTTAAACAGAAAAGATGAAAAATTATGGAAATTATAAAATAATATGAATTCTTTTAATAATTTTATTCGCAAAATTTCTATTTTTCGTGAGTTTAATTCCATCTGCAGAAAAGCGAACTTTATCAAAATAGCTATCTAAATGATAGTAAAATACATTGTTTGATATTGCTGTCCTCTAGAAAAAGGTTTGGCAGCCATATTTACATTCTCACATACGTTCTAATTATTGAATTGTTAGTAATGTTTTCATGTATCTTAACTGTTGAATATTTGTATTTCAGAGGAAGAAAAGTCCTTAGTAGAAGAGGTTTTCAACAATGCAATAGATAACTTATCTGATGAAGACAAAAAACTTCCACAGGTAAATTTTTTTTTCTTATAAGTGTACATATCTTAGTGATAATTTCATTTAATTATTGCACTAAAAAATGATAGCACTTGTTGCATTTAAATAGCAAACATCATGGTTGTGGGAATTCACAATTATGCTTATTTGCCAAAAAGTGATAATGTGGTAGAATAAGAACATTAACAGTACATTTATGTTATGATAAATTAGAACTAAGCCATGTTAATTTATAAATTAGAACTCTTCTATCAGACTTCATTTTAATTGTAGAGTAGGTCAACAAATTCTAGTAACATCAGAATTTTGAAGATGATTAATTAAAAACTGTAAAATATGAATGTTATTTGAATAGAATTCATTTTAAGAGTATAATTGGCAATTAGGAAAAGTTTCTAGCAACATCAGATGATGAAGTTGATGAAGTATAAATCTGTAAGATATGTAAGATTAAAAGTTGAATCGTTGCTGAATCTTTCAATATGTGTTTGATGAATAATTGTTCTCTCTAAACTGTGACTTGTAGGTGGAACATGTCCTGCCACTCTTGAGGAAAGGAGTTGGTATCCATCATTCTGGTCTACTGCCCCTTCTTAAGGAAACTATAGAGATCCTGTTCTCTGAAGGACTCATTAAGGTAACTTTGGGTTTTGTCATAATATCTGTCCTTCATTTCATTCATAATATAATTCACCTCAACACATTTGAAGGATTTTTCTTGTTTTATAATCTTTCTATCACCGGGATGTTTGGTGCTGGTTATCTGTATATCTGTCGTGTCCCGTCTCTCCAGTCCCATCCTTCTTGCCCCGTCTCACACCATCCTATCCCTCCCTGTCCCTGACAAAATTGACACTTTTGAAGTATTTGACCTGCCGATTGAGAGAGCTTATATGTATAGGCTTTATATGTGTTTTGCTCAATCTTGTTGATTGTTAAGTCAATGAAATCTGTTTACAGTGTGATAAACCAACTTTCTTCTGTGTGCAAATTCATGAAGAAAAATTGTCACCTATCAGATAGGGCCAATAAATATAGAAGATGGTGTAACAGCATAGTCTGTTTTGTGAAAAATAACAGACTCAAAGGTTTTGTGAGACAAAACTCATGAAAATGAGTAGTTAAGGAAGTTGTTTTACAATTTTTTAAATTGAAATGGGATTAATCACTTGACATCTGATCAAGTAGTAATGTATGCTAAGTAATGAAACAAAAAAAATCTGTCTAAATTATCTCAGACAATTGTGCGTACAGTCATAAAAGTCCATTTAAGTTTCTGTTTCAATTCATAACAGGATCTAGAAAGGCCTATTGATTTTATATACGTTAAACATCAGTCATACTAACATGGATAGAGATCATCAATGTGATGTCATTATTGTATTTTGTAACATCTTAGATGTAAATAAAGATATAATTAATATGATAAGTTGACTTGTTCTTGTTTCAGGCACTGTTTGCTACAGAGACTTTTGCTATGGGACTTAACATGCCTGCCAGGACAGTATTGTTCACTAGTGCTAGGAAATTTGACGGGAAAGATTTTCGATGGGTATGTATCATGGTCATAAGGTGTTGGCAGTTATTGATTCTATGTACTTCAGGCTACAGATCTTTGTGTACTGCATTGTAATATAAAATATTTACTTCCTGGATACTGTGAGAAAGTATTAAATACTGAATAGCATGAAAAGGAGAATAAAATTTTAACGAATAGGAATTGTGCAATCTGGATAAAAGAGTATAATTACTTTTTGTGAATATTATTTATCGACACCCCAGTTATGATAAATAATAATGATAGTAATTTCTGCTTTTAATGCAAAATTCTATATCGTGTAACATATAACCTGTATAAGTAATGTTCTGGACCATTATTATTTTAATTATTCTTTGATAGTTTGAAATGTCTGTGATTTTTCATCATATTAATGATATTTGATAACAAATATAATGTACTTGTGTCTTATTATTTCATGGTTCAAAGTTTTGTGATAATGTTAATATCCTATGGAATTGGAAAAAATATCATTCACACCAAAATAACCAGCTGTACAGTATTTAGAGGCACGGTGTTGTAGTAGTAGGATGTTAGGCTGGTGAATATAGGGGTACTGTAGTGTAGTAGTAGGATGTTAGACTGGTGAATATAGGGGCACAGTGGTGTAGTATTAGGATGTTAGGCTGGTGAATATAGGGGCACAGTGGTGTAGTAGTAGGATGTTAGGCTGGTGAATATAGGGACACAGTGGTGTAGTAGTAGGATGTTAGGCTGGTGAATATAGGGACACGGTGTAGTAGTAGGATGTTAGCAGGTGAATATAGGGACACAGAGGTGTAGTAGTAGGATGTTAGGTGGGAAATATAGGGGTACTGTGGTGTAGTAGCAGGATGTTAGGCTGGTGAATTAGGGACACAGAGGTGTAGCAGTAGGATGTTAGGTGGGAAATATAGGGGTACTGTGGTGTAGTAGTAGGATGTTAGGCTGGTTAATATAGTGGCACAGTGTTGTAGTAGTAGGATGTTGGGCAGGTGAATATAGGGGTTCTGTGGTGTAGTAGTAGGATGTTAGGCTGGTGAATTGAAGGATAAGGAGGATAGTACTAATATGATACTGAGTTTTTAATTGTGGATTGAGGAAGTTTGGTACTTGATTTTAAAGTTTTATATTAAAATGAAATTTTATAATTAACCTGCTGTTTTAGCTAACATCAGGAGAGTACATACAGATGAGTGGTCGAGCAGGACGAAGAGGTCTTGACGACCGTGGAATTGTAATTTTGATGGTGGATGAAAAGATGAGCCCTCAAGTTGGCAAGACTGTTGTCAAGGTAACTGATAACTGATGAAAATAGGACAGATTTTGATGAAAACTACATATTCAATTGAATCAAAATGAATTATTTTGTAAAAAAAAATGTAACGAAAATAACATATTATCTATTACTTATTCTTATACAGGGTGAGGCTGACTCTCTGAACTCTGCTTTTCATTTGACCTACAACATGGTGCTAAACCTTTTACGAGTGGAAGAAATTAATCCGGAGTACATGTTGGAGCGCTCCTTCTACCAGTTTCAGAACTATGCTGCTATTCCTGAATTGTGTGAGCGTAAGTAAAAAGGAACTGACCAAAAAAAGAAGGCTAAAATCAAGTATTCTGTATACAGCTCTACCTCATGTCTTATTAATTTGGAGGAAAACTAATGGTTTTTTAATGAAATTTAAAATTCAAAATCAAAAGAGATCCAAACATTTCAATTTTTGTTCAGATTCAGAAATCTTCTCAAACGAAATGGCTCAAACTAATGTGTAAGCTGAAGGAAGTACTTGTTGGCTACTTTCAGGCATTGACTCAGTATTTTACAGAGAACAGGTTGGCAGCATTGTTTTTGTTATCAAACATACAAGTTTCATCAGAGGAAAATAAAACAAAAAAAATTCATTGAGATGAAATGGTTAACTTTTTCAGAATTGAAGAAGGTGGAGGATGAATATGCTAATGTTCATGTTCCAAATGAAGAACAGGTTGGACCTTACTATAAAATACGACAACAATTAGACAATCTTGGAAAGGAGCTTCTACAGTACATACAGAAGCCACAGTATCTGCTGCCCTTTTTACAACCAGGCAGGGTCATCAAGGTAAATCTATACCTGCTATCTAATGCTCATTTTACAACCAGGCAGGGTCATTAATGTCAATTGATACGCACTGCCTAATGTTCATTTTACAATCGGGCAAGGTTGCCAAGGTAACTCTTTTCCCACCAGCTTTGGTCCTTCTTACAGACAGGTACGATCGTCAAGGTAACTCTCTACCTGTAACACTGGTAAAATACTAGCTGCAATATACCACTTGGCTGGAGAGAACTTCTCTTTAGCTCGATAGGTTGAGCATCAGACTAGTAAGCCAGTGGTCCCGGGTTCGATTCCTAGAGGAGGCATTGAAATAAATAATGACCTCTGTTACATTGGCGCCCATGTAGGGACTGGGCAATAGTACTTAGCCATGCCCCACCTGCATCGCTGTAACCCCTGGAAACTCGAGGATGAGTTATTTCCTGGAGGGAGAGTATGTACTAGCCGCAATATACCACTCGGCCAGAGAGAACTTCTCTATAGCTCGATTGGTTGAGTGTCAGACTAGTAAGCCAGGGGTCATGGGTTTGATTCCTAGCGGAAGCATTGAAATTAATTATGACCTCTGTTACATACCCATCTTTCCTACAACCAGGCAGTGTTGTCAAGGTAACTCTCTTCTCACTACCATCTGTCCTTCCTACAACCAGGCAGTGTTGTCAAGATAACACTGTACCCACTACGTAGTGTCCTTCCTACAATCAGGCAGTATTGTCAAGGTAACACTGTACCCACTACGTAGTGTCCTTCCTACAATCAGGCAGTATTGTCAAGGTAACACTGTACCCACTACCCACTGTCCTTCCTACAACCAGGCAGTGTTGTCAAGGTAACTCTCTTCTCACTACCAACTGTCCTTCTTACAACCAAGCAGGGCCAAAATAAGATATAACAAAGATAAACAGACATTTTTTGCATTTCTGCTATTAAATGTCATGAAGGAAAGTAGTGTCATGTACACTGTGTATGAAGTAGAAAATCTCCTGTGTGCTTCAGTTTACTTCTGTTTTCTAGGTAAAAAATGGAGAAGATGACTTTGGCTGGGGAGTACTTGTCAACCTACAGAAGAAGTCAAATCAGAAGAAGGTAAGTCTATCTTTGTAAAACAACAAAATTAAGTGTAAAGTGTAAAAAAACAGATATTGTATTTATCAAGTAACATACAAATTTTGAAATATATTGGAATTGTGATGTCTTACTTAAGTTATGTTGAATATTTTCTCAGTAAATTAAATAAATCTGTCTCAGATGGAAAGAAATTTCATTGATTTCACTTACTTTCCATGAATATGAATAATTTACAAACAGAACCTTCTAAGAATGTCATTGTAAAACAGAATTTCTTAAACCTGTATGATACAGGCTTGTGGCATGTTACATAATTACCCTTGATTGCTAAATTCTATACTTCACTGTCATGCTATTAAATGCCTCTGACAGCTCAGCTTTTTTCTAGAGAAGAGGATACAATAGACAATTGAAACAAATTGGGATTTTAAGACTAAAACTATGCTTACATGGTATCAGGACTTAATGTATTTTGTTTTCTAGTATTAGTCTTTACTGAAAAAAGGTCAATGCAGGTAAATTATTGTATTCTCTGTGTTAATCTGGAGACAACTGGGACATATTTTATCAATTTGCAAGTGATTCTATTGAGATATATATGATGTTGCATTATGTATTTAGTCAGTTGAGGCATCCGATCCAGTCTATGTAGCAGAGGTCTTACTGAACCTGACAAAGGAGAGTGCACGAGCACGTAACATAACCTCCATACAAGCCTGTCCGCAAGGCGTGCGTGGTGAAATGCAGGTAGGAACAAATGTTTTGTGGATGTACTTTTTCAGTCTTATACCTGTACAACTACCAACAACTTTTAACCATACAATACAACTGTCTGTTTCACTCTGTTTTTGCCATATCTCCTTCACACATTCCCCTACGACTGTCAGTATTTTGAGTGGTATGAGATTGGTGAAGATTGGTCTGATGCTTGGTTTTCCAGTTAAAATGGATATCCCAGTAACTATATATTTTTGAATAAACAAATCAAACATAAGGCTTTTTGTGATATAGAGTGTTTTATGTAGTTTTATGAGGGCTAGTTTCCTTTATCCAGGTTGTACCGGTCCTCACCAGTCTGATCCAGTCAGTCAGTGCTGTAAGACTGTACATCCCACAGGACCTTCGTCCAACTGACAACAGACAGAGTGTATCCAAGTCTCTCCAGGAAGTGGAGAGGCGGTTCCCAGATGGAATACCTCTACTTGACCCTGTAGAGGATATGGGAATCAAGGAGAAAGGTCTCAAAGAAATAGTCAAGGTTAGTCACAGAATTACCTCCCTTGGTGATGTAAGGATCCTTATGGTTTCTGAGATGTAAATATTTTCGTTATAGATGATTTTTATTGTTTGCTTTATGATGAAAAAAAAAGAAAATCCAAATGTTATATGATTATATTTCAAACAATTTATGAACACATTTCTTTTCCAGAAAATTGAAGCATTTGAGCATAGGATGTACTCACATCCACTTCACAAAGATCCTAACCTTTTGGAGTACTACAAGGAGTATGAGAAGAAAGCTAAGGTAGGTTGTAATGTGTAGAATGTAGTACTGCTAGTTGTAAAAGAGGAGGGTTAAGAAGAGTTAACGCACTGAGGATATTAAAACTCAAAGTTTGTAGTAGTATAATATGATACTAATGAATATCATGTTCCCAGATTAAGTTTTGGATGATCAGCCATAACCAGGGAACTGTAGAATAGGGCTATCATTGTATTCTATGTTCTCTGAAATATCATGAGTGTTTCTGATTTTCATACTTTATTTATAGTAAGTTCTATAGAGACCTAACTCTTGAACTTCAACATAAACTTGTATAACAAAAGTTATTTTCAAAATTACAGGTGGGTAATGAAGTAAAAGCCATTAAGTTAGAGCTTAAGAAAAAGAAGTCACTTCTACAGATGGATGAATTGAAGTGCCGCAAGCGGGTCTTGCGGCGCCTTGGTTACTGTACTGCCTCCGATGTCATAGAACTTAAAGGAAGGGTGGCTTGTGAGATCAGCAGGTAAAAAACACACCACACACCACCTTAAGTTATAGATTTCATGGTTGAAGTTTTGCTATATATAGTCATATGGTTTAAATTTGACTTAAAGTTTTGAATTCCTAGATTTTGAAATAAAGAGTTTCCATGGTTACAGGTTGATTATTTATGTGTGGTATTTTATATTGGATCCTGTTTGTATATGTATATATAACTGTTTCAGTGGGGATGAGTTGCTGCTGACAGAACTTCTTTTTAACGGCGTGTTCAACGATCTGACAACCCAGCAGACATGTGCACTCATGAGCTGTTTTGTGTTTCAAGAAAAATCCAGTGAGATGCCTAAACTGACTGAGGCTTTATCAGGACCTCTCCGAATCATGCAGGTAACACAAGTCAGGTTAGAAATGGTTTGGTCAGAGCATTCCATGGAACATGCTGGTATTGTGATATAGCCAGAAATAGCTTTGTTAGGTCCTCTCTGCATCAAGGCTTGTCCAGGTTATGTAGATGATACAATTCATGTTATAAATAGCTTGTGATGACCTGTCCAGATCACGGAAATATCCTGTTATGAGTGATTTCATACCCTTGCACTGAAGTTAATGAACAGTACCCATGATAGATGTGTGCTTATTTTTTATTTTTCATTGAAAATGTACTTTGGAATTTAGCCCATGGCTTTAAGTTCCGGTTCAAACCCAGGTCCATTTCATGGATGTTCTAAACTTCAAATTTTCTGTAGGAAAATATTGCCAAGGTTTGAGATATTTGTCTTTAAATTATTCTTTAAGCATCAAATAATATCAGAAGAATAAGTGTAATGTAATATTTGGTGTAATTTGATCAGGACACAGCACGGAGGATTGCGCGGGTCAGTCGGGAAGCAAAGATTGATATTGATGAAGAACAGTATGCAGATTCATTCAAACCACATATGATGGATATTGTCAATGCTTGGTGCAATGGAGCAACCTTTGCAGAGATCTGTAAAATGTCAGACATTTTTGAAGGTGAGATATGGACAACCTTTTATGAAGATGGTGTTTAATGTTTCGATCGTTTTATGAATGATGTGTTCGATGTTTCCAGCTATGCATATACTTTGTACAGGAAAGGGAAAGGGAGGAAGTCAAAAAAACATATATGGATAAATTTTGATGATATTGATCCTGCAATGAGCCTAGGGTACAAACACTACTTCTGATGCAGAGTGAGGGTGTGGGCTTGTTACAGGACAAGGAAAATAGCTGGCCACCTCAGTGTCTTTATCCTGTAATAAACCAAACAGGCTAACATACCAATATTGTCTTGTACTTAGGTGCCTTTTCTTATTTCTGTTGTTTGTATATATCCTCACTATAATACATAATTACTGGACAAGTAGTGGATTGTACTGAAAAATTGACTGGATCCTGGATCTAATTAAAAAAAAAAAATAACCATTTGAAAACAATGACATTAAGAAAAAAGCTGAAGCCAGCTTCATAAAGACTCTCAACAAGATTGTTTTGAACCTACCAATACAACTAGACACTTAAATCAGCCCGGATAACTAGGTAAACTTCAGCTACAAAACTAAATAGACTTTAACCTAGCAATGTAAGCAGATAACCTCAAGCCTACCATATCATTATAATAAACTTTTCTGTATATGATTGATATAACTTGTAGGCAGTATAATCCGATGTATGAGGCGACTGGAGGAAACACTCAGACAGATGTGCCAAGCTGCCAAAGCCATCGGAAACACAGAACTGGAGAACAAATTTGCAGAATGTAAGCACTGTAGAAATGCAGCCATTATGTTTATATTCTTTATCAGTTTGACCAAGAAAATCATCTGTTTCAATGACAGAGGTTTCGTTACCTAGAACTTGATGTGCTATCTTACTGATCAGTGTTAGCTTACAAATGTCAACTCTTTGGTTAGTTAGAAAATACAGTCAAAAGTTTCTCTCTCACAACAAACCTAATACAAAGGTGAATGTTGCAGGAGATCACATATCTGTAAATTTTCTTTTGTCCATTTCAAAATTTGTCATCAAAATATAATTTTCTTGAAGTGGATATTTCGAAAATAATTCTTGGTTGTGTTCTATTAACAGCTATAAGGAGTATAAAGAGGGATATTGTATTTGCTGCCAGTTTGTACTTATGAGAAGTGGAATAGCTAGTACTAGAACTCTAGTCTCAGCATCCCTTAGCAAGGCTTCACCAATCACAGATGTGTGAGGACAACAGGTGCTATGATGAATCTCGTGACATGAGGAGTGTTGTGTAACCTGGATTTGTTATATGAAGTTGTCATGTGATCACGGAAATCACTACAGTAGATGTATAAGTGTTGTATACCAGCATTCTGTGAACAGCTTCTACACAACCAAATACAATAGGAAGTGGAGCCCTTCTACACAATAGACTGGCCACATACAAAACTATCTGTAGATTGGTATCTCATCTGCTTCACCAGCAACACCTCCTATATCATGTCTGCTCTATCCAGTGCTTCACATGAAACTAAATCATGAGCTGTTGAAGTTCGCAGAACTTTTATTGGTTCAGCAATGTCGAGATAATTTATGAACTGGTTTGGAGCAGGAGATTGGATCTTGTTAATACCAGTTATAGCTTGTTGAATATCATTTGTATATATATGTACATTATCATTGTTGTACATTTAATAATGTAAATCCAGTATTTTCTCACATTTCATAAAAAATAAGTCAGTACTAGGTACTAGGTCAATTATCATGTATAGTGATCATTTCATTTATCGAGATTTGATTGGACAAAAGACTCAGTATTGTATATTCATTTCACTCACAAGACCAATCTCATCAAAAAATAAAATTTCATTTGTAGAGACTTTCTTCTCCTGTTAATTTGTACAGTTAATTTCTTTAGAACTAATGAAAGAATATTAATTTGTACAGTTAATTTCTTTAGAACTAATGAAAGAATATCAAATGTGCTTTTAGAAAATAATTTTATTGGTTAAGAACATCAACAAAATATAACCAACAAATAAAAATCACAATGATGTGCTGGCCAATGATGTTGTGCAGACTTGATAAATTTATACATTCAATAATCAATTATACTGTACATTGCTAATCAAACAGGACATGTCTGTAACCATTTTTTCCTTTTTCATCCAGCGCAGATCCAGAAAACTTCAAAAGATTCCCAATATTTCTGATAACAAGAGTAAAAGAAATTTAAAATAGAGTGGAATGTTGGTTTATGAAAATTTGAATGATTATTAAGAAGCAGATATTCTCCCCTTGTCAGTGGGTGGTATATAAAAACTGGGTGGTATCAAGTCTGCAGCACAACCTTTTCATGGATCTTAGCAAAGTGTTTTTAATTTGTAAACATTCAATAATCATTGTTACATTGAATGATTGATAAAATACTGGTTACAGTTTGCTATTGTGATTGGAGACAGGTATCAGAAAATCCTCCTTATCACAATAGATTTAGGGGCCATGTCACCAAATAATGTTAACACACCATAGGTAAGTAAAGATTTTATATTGTTAACAAATAACATTGTTAAGATATTGATAACAGGTACTAGCTCTATAGCTCTAAATGTCACATTCAGCGAGTGAAAGATGATGGTAATTAATTGTGACAGTTCCTTTGTACACACTGTACAGTTGTCTTTATTTTCTAGGTTATATTCCAGAAGATAACTTGTGCCATCATGCATTTTTTTAGGAAAAGTTATTATGAAAAAAAAAACTAACAAAAGAGTAGCTGGATATAAAATTCTATTGATATGAAATACCATTGACAAGGTATGAATACCAGTAACTGATTATGAAATTCTATTGACAGCATATAAAATACTATAAAATTCCAAACTGAAAACCCTAAACATCTTATCAGACACGATATAATACATATACATGTAATTTAATATCAGGCATATTGATTGTTGAAAACAGCATGGCATTTATTCCAAAATGTAAACTATAACAAATGAGTTGATTTTGTTTGTATGTTGGATCTATATCCTGTTTATCTAATTATAAAACAAAATATAAAAAAAAGTTAACTGTATCAAATATAATGGGACCAAAATAACCTGTCATTTTGAACTTGACAAGAAACACTCAGCTTTTGTTACTGCCCCCCTACTCATTGTTGGGATGTATGTAATCTTGGAATTTAACAAGATTCCAGACATAGTTAAAAGGGACATATCTAATATAAAACATGTCTATTCCGAAGTCAACAGCAGGTGTAGAACTTCTCTGAAAGCCTATTTTAGTGAACTTGGAAAAAAATTCCATCCATGAGCACACAAGAGAATGGTTGGATTAAATAAAAATAAAGAAGGGTAGCTGCACAACATTAGTGTGTGAAAATGACAACATCAGCAGATTTTTACAAAGTTTGGATGAAAGTAGTAGCAGTAGTTGTCTGGACGTGATCCTGTTAACAGATCAACAGACAACTATATTCAAGTATGTTTCACCCTAACTTTGTTGCAGGGGTTATAACATCTGTCACACCCAGGAAAACTTGTGTAATACTTAATTGGAAAATAAAGAGATTACGTTAATTTCTGAAATGCTAAATATTTAATCAATGTAGGTACATGGAATTCAGTTCTTTTGTATATTTTTGTGAAGCTTATTATTATTATTTTGGAAGAATATTCTGCAGACCCTTAATTTCTTGGATAAATAATAGTATTGAAACTTACAATACTAAAAGTTTATGTCACGTACAGAACAGTAAAGTACACCGATTTCTTGCTGGTTGAATACTGATAGAGATTATGTGTCCCAAAGATCATTAAAGAAGTCCCGTTAAAATTTCAGATTTTACATGACAGGTCATTCTGGTCTTACAGATACTGTTGTAATGGTGCTGAGGAGAAACTATAAATCCTAATCTTGTGTTATACTTACTACACTTTGATATGGAAGCTTTCATTGATCTTTGGTCTGGTATGATATGTAAACAAATAGAATTTAAAAATCAATAATATACGGTTTTTTACAAAACATCACAGATTAGTTAATGACTTTAACTATTATAAATATAGCCTCATATAGTATAGGAATATATCATATGAATATAAGTTAATGAACCTTAAATCTTATTTTCATATCTTGGTACTAAAAAAATACATGTCGGTACTATTAAAGTGATCTGTTTTTAGCACACAAATGGCAATGTTTTTTTTCTCAATAAAATATTCATCTATGGCAAACATGCTATTTGGCACAAAAGCTACACATGTGTATAATTTTATATAGCACAATAGTTATATAGATATTTACATTAAAAATCTACATGAAATGCGAAGACATTGTAAACCTTCATATAAGTCTCCTGATTTTATTTACACCAAAACGTTAGATTATCCCCCTTTCCTATCGTCAAAATCATCCTCAGTAATTGGTTGGTTGGTTACAGGTTTTGTGTCACATGACTCTTCCTATCACTAGACATGTCAGTATTTTGGCAATATGTAAAAATTTCCTCAAATTAAATCATCAAGTCTTTCATTATACCATAGTTTCCTATATAAGTGGTACATAAAGCAGTACAACCTTTCAGGCTACAACAACCTACAAATGGTGGCAGTATAACAAGGACTTGTTGTGTGTTAATAGATATTCAACTGAAACAACTAATTCTACAGACAACAATATTCCCGTAATTTTTAACAATACAATGTTAATAAACTAGTCAAACTGCAGCTGTTTGCAGCAGTTAGTACTGATGTTGTAGAAAAAAAGTCCAGATTTCAAAAAGACACTGAACAAAATACATGTTATAAGACAATTAAAAAATGGATCAAAATTATGAATTTTCAATAATAACTCAATCAGGATATCACATAAAATCTTACACCATTCTACACTTTATACAAAATTTTATATATCAAAAGTGTCAACTAACAGTGATGGAGGGAACCAACTGCCTGGCTGTCTTTGGTCCTTAAAGGAATTACAGTATGATACCCTTCGATATTCAATTGAGCCCCGTCATAGATACAAAATATTCATATTTCACATAGTACTCGTACAGAAGATTTGTATGTTACAAGTTCCAATAAAAGTTAAAGTGGTTTTAAAAACATGATTTACCAGTGTAAGTATAAAAACAGTATAAAACAAGCAGCGTCTAAAAACTGAGTGGGAAGAGAAGGATTTTGTAGGTTATGACTTGACTTTCAATTACACAGGAACTAGACAGGTTTACTTTCCAGTACATAGGGAATTAACAAGTACCTTTCCAGTATACTGGGACTAGACAGATGTTTTTCCAGTATACATAGTTTAGACAACTTATTTTTCCAGAACAGAGACTAGACAGGGTATCTTTTGAAAAATGCAGAGACGAGATGGCTTAACTTTCCAGAATGCAGAGACAAGAAAGGCTTATTTTCCAGAACACAGACTAGATGAGTTAACTTTCCAGAATGCAGAGACAAGACAGGCTAATTTTCCAGAACTCAGACTAGATGGCTTAACTTTCCAGAATGCAGAGACTAGATGGCTTAACTTTCCAGAATGCAGAGACAAGACAGGCTTATTTTCCAGAACACAGACTAGATGAGTTAACTTTCCAGAATGCAGAGACAAGACAGGCTAATTTTCCAGAACTCAGACTAGATGGCTTAACTTTCCAGAATGCAGAGACTAGATGGCTTAACTTTCCAGAATGCAGAGACAAGAAAGGCTAATTTTCCAGAACTCAGACTAAATGGCTTAACTTTCCAGAATGCAGAGACAAGAAAGGCTAATTTTCCAGAACTCAGACTAGATGGCTTAACTTTCCAGAATGCAGAGAATAGATGACTTAACTTTCCAGAATGCAGAGACAAGACAGGCTAATTTTCCAGAACTCAGACTAGATGGCTTAACTTTCCAGAACTCGGACTAGATGGGTTAATGTTGAAAAATGCAGAGACTAGATGGCTTAACTTTCCAGAATGCAGAGACAAGAAAGGCTTATTTTCCAGAACACAGACTAGATGAGTTAATGTTGCAAAATGCAGAGACTAGAAGGCTTAACTTTCCAGAATGCAGAGACAAGAAAGGCTAATTTTCCAGAACACAGACTAGATGAGTTAATGTTGCAAAATGCAGAGACTAGACAGTTTCCTCAAAATTGGATTCTATGAAAATTCAAGTACTACCACCAGATACATAATCATACATTGCAGTCAGCTGGAATGTCTTGTGTCTGGTAAACACAAAATCAACGAGGATAAACTTTCAAAAAACATAACAGCTATCACAAAAAACTAGTAAATGTCGCAATGCCTCATATGTATAAGTGACAATGTACATGTGTCACAGAACACCAACATAAGTAGACTTCACAGTCTTTAATCTATATACAGGTCACCACAAAGTGGCAGATGCGTTGTGTACTAATTGCAAAATGACAGGCAGCTTGCATGATTTGCAAATATACTGATTCAAAAATGGGAAAAATTATTCTTTCATCTAGCAATCACATTTCTAGATTGTAACAAGATGATGTAACACATAAATGCTTCTATCAACTTTTGTTGTCAACAAATTTTTCTATAAATGGGTACAAAACACTGTACAACTCTCAAAGTGTGTATATACAGTTAGATTCAGTGTGCATATATATATTTATAAAGTACATACATTCTGTAACACCTAATACTACAGGGTAGTAAGAGGTGTGTGGAGGTGTCCCAGTCCAGGGACTCGTTGCATTGTTTGGTTTATCATACTATTATACCCTGGTAAAGTTGAGAACATACTACAGGTGTGTCACTTTACAGGTAAGATATGCATGTTTACAGGTAATTGTAATCATGTATATTACACTGGTGTGGTGTCATACAGGTATGTTGTCATGTAGGTATGTCACCTCACAGGTAAAGTTTGAGTAGCAGATAATGTCACCTCACAGGTAAAGTTTGAGTAGCGGATAATGTATGCTTCATACAGGTGTAATGCTTTATTTGTATTTGAGTGACACAGGTGACCTACCTTAACCACTGAGTGGTCTTTTACCATGAATGAAGTGAATATTGTAACCTGTATACTAGTTATACCGGTCATGAAACTAAAATTCTTTGTGTAAAGGACTGAATAATTTTTGATTTTTTAAAATTCAATCAATGCTTATGTTTTGATGAAACAGAAATTTGATTTGTTGGTTGTCTTGATAAATTTTGCAGGAAAAGACAATGCTGTAGTATATTTTTACCTGTAAAAGCCTATATTCACAAATTTGGCACCATATTACAGTATTTTCACAGAGACAGGCTTGTCATTCCCTCCACTAACACTAACATCCTCCCCAGAATCTGTTGTTACAATATCTTAATTTGGTGTCTGATATAGCAGTTTCATAATATAATGAAGGTCACATCAATGTCACATCAATGTCACATCAATGTCACGATGTCTTTAACATTCCTGTTGTCTGGTCAACTCAGTGTCCATCCAAGGCTTTCAGGTACTTTGTTTCAATGAGTTTGGGAACTAACTTGTGTCTGTAACAGAAAAAAATAAATTTAATCTGGAAAGATTTATTGACTTCATGACATCTTACATAACTGTATCACCAATATAACTGTTTTTTCTATGAGACCATTTAAATATGCTGTGGTTTCTGTTCAAAACTTCTTCTAATGAATGGTAAAACACATTTTCAATTCCCAGGGATGGAAGTTTACAATGATGCTCAATGTTTTTGACACTAACCCATATTTTTCAGTTCATGTTTCTCCAGGTTTCATTGGTAAACATGCTTTAATAATGAAAAATATTCATTTATAGAATTGAATGTAGTTTAAGCTGTAAAAATAGCTTATCATTATTATTACTCAAGCCTTTATGGTTCTGCAGAAGTTGAAGATCTTATTTCTATCAGTACTTACCTGACAGGCATAAGCACCATGAGGAGGATAGGGAAGACCATCTTCATGTAAGGAATGGGTGAGAAACCAAAAATACAGAGGACAAACAACTGCACGAGCTGTATAGCAGTGAATAGGTGGACCTTCCTCTGGGGCACACGGCGTACGTAGTGGTTAGGAGGGTAGGCAGACTGTAACAGGACAGATTGACGGGTTTAGAAATATATCAAAATTGATGTAAGTTCAATGGATCTGTCATACACATTCACCTGCAGAGTCAATAATGAATTTTGAAAAAGAGAATGAATCCTAAAACATTCATCATGGTATTGAAGGTTTTTTAAGTTATGAAACATATTCATAAACTGTTAGAGAACTAAATCAGAATTTCAATGTATAATGTGAAGCCATATGTTAAAAACATAAAATAAGCATCATGAAAATGAAATGGTATTTCACTCAGCATTATAACTATACTTACATTTGAAGTAACGTTAACGGTTTTTTATCAAACCACAAATAAGTGATATTGACATGAAATCTATATACTGTACAAACCTGTTCTGTGAAGAGGAGAAGGATTCGATCAAACATCTGATTGCCGTAGAGAGCAGTGATGGCTACGTAAAGGAAAAGTCCATCCAGCACTGGACGGGGAATATAGGCCATTGGGTAGGGCAATAAGAACATAGACAGACCAATCAACACATGGGAGATAATCCCGGTCAGACGTGTCTCCCGTACATGGACAACTCTGTTATAATTAGAATATTTCAATAAGAAAGAAATTTAGAAAACATTGATTCACAGTGTATCTAGAAATTTACTAACCACATATAGATTATGTTTTTATTTTGAAGAGATTTTTTATTACTTATTCAAAAGGATAGAATGATAATTTCATAATTCCCTTGATAAGTTATCTTAATTTCCTTGATAAGTTATCTTAATTCCCTTGATAAGTTATCTTAATTTCCTTGATAAGTTATCTTAATTCCCTTGATAAGTTATCTTAATTCCCTTGATAAGTTATCTTAATTCCCTTGATAAAATATCTTAATTTCCTTGATAAGTTATCTTAATTCCCTTGATAAGTTATCTTAATTTCCTTGATAAGTTATCTTAATTCCCTTGATAAGTTATCTTAATTCCCTTGATAAGTTATCTTAATTCCCTTGATAAGTTATCTTAATTCCCTTGATAAGTTATCTTAATTCCCTTGATAAGTTATCTTAATTTCCTTGATAAGTTATCTTAATTCCCTTGATAAGTTATCTTAATTCCCTTGATAAGTTATCTTAATTTCCTTGATAAGTTATCTTAATTTCCTTGATAAGTTATCTTAATTTCCTTGATAAGTTATCTTAATTTCCTTGATAAGTTATCTTAATTCCCTTGATAAGTTATCTTAATTCCCTTGATAAGTTATCTTAATTTCCTTGATAAGTTATCTTAATTCCCTTGATAAGTTATCTTAATTCCCTTGATAAGTTATCTTAATTTCCTTCAAACTTTTGGTGTCATCGTTGATTCTGATTTGTTTTGTGATATTTACAGTAAACATGGACATCACTAGGCTTTGTTAGTACTTACACCTGATGGACATGACCTTGCTCTATCCTGTCCTCAAGGTCAGCCAGAGCCTTTACATGGAGAGGAGAGTGCGGCAGTGCTGCATGTATCCATGGTAACGTGAAGATGGACAGTATGGCATTGATGACAGCCACAACAAACAGATCCCAGTGATAAGCTGCTCCCTTCTTAAGCCTGTTAAAAAGATTCATAATATTTATGTTGACTTTAGTGGACATTATTGTAGACAAAACAAGATCTCAAATTTTCACCCACCACTATATGTATGTTTACTGGAGTCTAGCTGACTTTTGTCTTTGTATTTTATTTCAGACAGTGTATTTTCCGACTGGAATGATCAGTTTAATAACATTATTGATGTGGTTGATATAATTCCTTCTAAGGTATGTCCATCTCTTACCAGTATACTTAATGACTGTTCACCATTAATCTCCACATACAAACATTGGCTTATTTGTGATCAATATAGTAATGAAAGGTTAAAATGACAAGCCATTCTGGACATCCTATGATAACAAAAGGTGAACATGACAACCCATTCTGGACATCCTATGATAACAAAAGATAAACATGACAAGCCATTCTGGACATCCTATGATAACAAAAGGTGAACATGACAAGTCATTCTGGACATCCTATGATAACAAAAGGTGAACATGACAAGCCATTCTGGACATCCTATGATAATGAAAGGTGAACATGACAAGTCATTCTGGATATCCTATGATAACAAAAGATAAACATAACAAGCCATTCTGGACATCCTATGATAACAAAAGGTGAACATGACAAGCCATTCTGGACATCCTATGATAACAAAAGGTAAACATGACAAGTCATTCTGGACATCCTATGATAATGAAAGGTGAACATGACAAGCCATTCTGGACATCCTATGATAATGAAAGGTGAACATGACAAGTCATTCTGGACATCCTATGATAATGAAAGGTGAACATGACAAGCCATTCTGGACATCCTATGATAACAAAAGGTGAACATGACAAGCCATTCTGGACATCCTATGATAACAAAAGATAAACATGACAAGCCATTCTGGACATCCTATGATAATGAAAGGTGAACATGACAAGTCATTCTGGATATCCTATGATAACAAAAGATAAACATAACAAGCCATTCTGGACATCCTATGATAACAAAAGATAAACATGACAAGCCATTCTGGACATCCTATGATAACAAAAGGTGAACATGACAAGCCATTCTGGACATCCTATGATAACAAAAGATAAACATGACAAGCCATTCTGGACATCCTATGATAATGAAAGGTGAACATGACAAGTCATTCTGGATATCCTATGATAACAAAAGATAAACATAACAAGCCATTCTGGACATCCTATGATAACAAAAGATAAACATGACAAGCCATTCTGGACATCCTATGATAATGAAAGGTGAACATGACAAGTCATTCTGGACATCCTATGATAACAAAAGGTAAACATGACAAGCCATTCTGGACATCCTATGATAATGAAAGGTGACCATGACAAGCCATTCTGGACATCCTATGATAACAAAAGGTAAACATGACAAGCCATTCTGGACATCCTATGATAACAAAAGGTAAACATGACAAGCCATTCTGGACATCCTATGATAACAAAAGGTAAACATGACAAGTCATTCTGGACATCCTATGATAACAAAAGGTAAACATGACAAGCCATTCTGGACATCCTATGATAACAAAAGGTAAACATGACAAGCCATTCTGGACATCCTATGATAACAAAAGGTGAACATGACAAGTCATTCTGGACATCCTATGATAACAAAAGGTAAACATGACAAGCCATTCTGGACATCCTATGATAACAAAAGGTGACCATGACAAGTCATTCTGGACATCCTATGATAACAAAAGGTAAACATGACAAGCCATTCTGGACATCCTATGATAATGAAAGGTGACCATGACAAGCCATTCTGGACATCCTATGATAATGAAAGGTAAACATGACAAGTCATTCTGGACATCCTATGATAACAAAAGGTAAACATGACAAGCCATTCTGGACATCCTATGATAATGAAAGGTGACCATGACAAGCCATTCTGGACATCCTATGATAATGAAAGGTAAACATAGCAAATAATTCTGGAAAAACCATGATTATGGAAGTTGAATATGACAAGTCATTCTAGTCATACTATGTCAATAAAAGGTGAACATGACAAGTGATTTGGTTGGATTGTGGCAATAAAATGTGGACATGACAATAAAGTAATTCTTGTTAGACTATGACAATAAAAGGTGAACAGGACAGTTGAGTGATTCTGGTTAGACTATAATAATGAAAGGTGAACAGGACAGTTGAGTGGTTCTGGTGAGACTATGACAATAAAAGGTGAACAGGACAGTTGAGTGATTCTGGTTAGACTATAATAATGAAAGGTGAACAGGACAGTTGAGTGATTCTGGTGAGACTATGACAATAAAAGGTGAACAGGACAGTTGAGTGATTCTGGTTAGAATATGACAATAAAAGGTGAACAGGACAGTTGACTGATTCTGGTTAGACTATGACAATAAAAGGTGAACAGGACAGTTGAGTGATTCTGGTTAGACTATGATAATGAAAGGTGAACAGGACAGTTGAGTGATTCTGGTTAGACTATGATAATGAAAGGTGAACAGGACAGTTGAGTGATTCTGGTTAGACTATGACAATAAAAGGTGAACAGGACAGTTGACTGATTCTGGTGAGACTATGACAATAAAAGGTGAACAGGACAGTTGAGTGATTCTGGTTAGACTATGATAATGAAAGGTGAACAGGACAGTTGAGTGATTCTGGTTAGACTATGACAATAAAAGGTGAACAGGACAGTTGAGTGATTCTGGTTAGACTATGACAATAAAAGGTGAACAGGACAGTTGAGTGATTCTGGTTAGACTATGATAAAGGTGAACAGGACAGTTGAGTGATTCTGGTGAGACTATGACAATAAAAGGTGAACAGGACAGTTGAGTGATTCTGGTTAGACTATGATAATGAAAGGTGAACAGGACAGTTGAGTGATTCTGGTTAGACTATGACAATAAAAGGTGAACAGGACAGTTGAGTGATTCTGGTTAGACTATGATAAAGGTGAACAGGACAGTTGAGTGATTCTGGTGAGACTATGACAATAAAAGGTGAACAGGACAGTTGAGTGATTCTGGTTAGACTATGATAAAGGTGAACAGGACAGTTGAGTGATTCTGGTTAGACTATGATAATGAAAGGTGAACAGGACAGTTGAGTGATTCTGGTTAGACTATGACAATAAAAGGTGAACAGGACAGTTGAGTGATTCTGGTTAGACTATGACAATAAAAGGTGAACAGGACAGTTGAGTGATTCTGGTTAGACTATAATAATGAAAGGTGAACAGGACAGTTGAGTGATTCTGGTGAGACTATGACAATAAAAGGTGAACAGGACAGTTGAGTGATTCTGGTTAGACTATGACAATAAAAGGTGAACAGGACAGTTGAGTGATTCTGGTTAGACTATGACAATAAAAGGTGAACAGGACAGTTGAGTGATTCTGGTTAGACTATGATAATGAAAGGTGAACAGGACAGTTGAGTGATTCTGGTGAGACTATGATAATGAAAGGTGAACAGGACAGTTGACTGATTCTGGTTAGACTATAATAATGAAAGGTGAACAGGACAGTTGACTGATTCTGGTTAGACTATGATAATGAAAGGTGAACAGGACAGTTGAGTGATTCTGGTTAGACTATGATAATAAAAGGTGAACAGGACAGTTGAGTGATTCTGGTTAGACTATAATAATGAAAGGTGAACAGGACAGTTGAGTGATTCTGGTTAGACTATAATAATGAAAGGTGAACAGGACAGTTGAGTGATTCTGGTTAGACTATGATAATAAAAGGTGAACAGGACAGTTGAGTGATTCTGGTTAGACTATAATAATGAAAGGTGAACAGGACAGTTGAGTGATTCTGGTTAGACTATAATAATGAAAGGTGAACAGGACAGTTGAGTGATTCTGGTTAGACTATGATAATAAAAGGTGAACAGGACAGTTGAGTGATTCTGGTTAGACTATAATAATGAAAGGTGAACAGGACAGTTGAGTGATTCTGGTTAGACTATAATAATGAAAGGTGAACAGGACAGTTGAGTGATTCTGGTTAGACTATGACAATAAAAGGTGAACAGGACAGTTGAGTGATTCTGGTTAGACTATAATAATGAAAGGTGAACAGGACAGTTGAGTGATTCTGGTTAGACTATAATAATGAAAGGTGAACAGGACAGTTGAGTGATTCTGGTTAGACTATAATAATGAAAGGTGAACAGGACAGTTGAGTGATTCTGGTTAGACTATGACAATAAAAGGTGAACAGGACAGTTGAGTGATTCTGGTTAGACTATGACAATAAAAGGTGAACAGGACAGTTGAGTGATTCTGGTTAGACTATAATAATGAAAGGTGAACAGGACAGTTGAGTGATTCTGGTTAGACTATAATAATGAAAGGTGAACAGGACAGTTGAGTGATTCTGGTTAGACTATGATAATGAAAGGTGAACAGGACAGTTGAGTGATTCTGGTTAGACTATAATAATGAAAGGTGAACAGGACAGTTGAGTGATTCTGGTTAGACTATGATAAAGGTGAACAGGACAGTTGAGTGATTCTGGTTAGACTATGATAATGAAAGGTGAACAGGACAGTTGAGTGATTCTGGTTAGACTATGACAATAAAAGGTGAACAGGACAGTTGAGTGATTCTGGTTAGACTATAATAATGAAAGGTGAACAGGACAGTTGAGTGATTCTGGTTAGACTATAATAATGAAAGGTGAACAGGACAGTTGAGTGATTCTGGTTAGACTATGATAATGAAAGGTGAACAGGACAGTTGAGTGATTCTGGTTAGACTATAATAATGAAAGGTGAACAGGACAGTTGAGTGATTCTGGTTAGACTATGATAAAGGTGAACAGGACAGTTGAGTGATTCTGGTTAGACTATGACAATAAAAGGTGAACAGGACAGTTGAGTGATTCTGGTTAGACTATAATAATGAAAGGTGAACAGGACAGTTGAGTGATTCTGGTGAGACTATGACAATAAAAGGTGAACAGGACAGTTGAGTGATTCTGGTTAGACTATGACAATAAAAGGTGAACAGGACAGTTGAGTGATTCTGGTTAGACTATGACAATAAAAGGTGAACAGGACAGTTGAGTGATTCTGGTTAGACTATGATAATGAAAGGTGAACAGGACAGTTGAGTGATTCTGGTGAGACTATGATAATGAAAGGTGAACAGGACAGTTGACTGATTCTGGTTAGACTATAATAATGAAAGGTGAACAGGACAGTTGACTGATTCTGGTTAGACTATGATAATGAAAGGTGAACAGGACAGTTGAGTGATTCTGGTTAGACTATGATAATGAAAGGTGAACAGGACAGTTGAGTGATTCTGGTTAGACTATGACAATAAAAGGTGAACAGGACAGTTGAGTGATTCTGGTTAGACTATAATAATGAAAGGTGAACAGGACAGTTGAGTGATTCTGGTTAGACTATAATAATGAAAGGTGAACAGGACAGTTGAGTGATTCTGGTTAGACTATAATAATGAAAGGTGAACAGGACAGTTGAGTGATTCTGGTTAGACTATGATAAAGGTGAACAGGACAGTTGAGTGATTCTGGTGAGACTATGATAATAAAAGGTGAACAGGACAGTTGAGTGATTCTGGTTAGACTATGACAATAAAAGGTGAACAGGACAGTTGAGTGATTCTGGTGAGACTATGATAATAAAAGGTGAACAGGACAGTTGAGTGATTCTGGTTAGACTATGACAATAAAAGGTGAACAGGACAGTTGAGTGATTCTGGTTAGACTATAATAATGAAAGGTGAACAGGACAGTTGAGTGATTCTGGTTAGACTATGATAAAGGTGAACAGGACAGTTGAGTGATTCTGGTTAGACTATGATAAAGGTGAACAGGACAGTTGAGTGATTCTGGTGAGACTATGACAATAAAAGGTGAACAGGACAGTTGAGTGATTCTGGTTAGACTATGACAATAAAAGGTGAACAGGACAGTTGAGTGATTCTGGTTAGACTATAATAATGAAAGGTGAACAGGACAGTTGAGTGATTCTGGTTAGACTATAATAATGAAAGGTGAACAGGACAGTTGAGTGATTCTGGTTAGACTATGACAATAAAAGGTGAACAGGACAGTTGAGTGATTCTGGTTAGACTATGATAATGAAAGGTGAACAGGACAGTTGAGTGATTCTGGTTAGACTATGACAATAAAAGGTGAACAGGACAGTTGAGTGATTCTGGTTAGACTATAATAATGAAAGGTGAACAGGACAGTTGAGTGATTCTGGTGAGACTATGACAATAAAAGGTGAACAGGACAGTTGAGTGATTCTGGTTAGACTATGATAAAGGTGAACAGGACAGTTGAGTGATTCTGGTTAGACTATGATAAAGGTGAACAGGACAGTTGAGTGATTCTGGTTAGACTATGACAATAAAAGGTGAACAGGACAGTTGAGTGATTCTGGTTAGACTATAATAATGAAAGGTGAACAGGACAGTTGAGTGATTCTGGTTAGACTATGTTAATGAAAGGTGAACAGGACAGTTGAGTGATTCTGGTTAGACTATGATAATGAAAGGTGAACAGGACAGTTGAGTGATTCTGGTTAGACTATGACAATAAAAGGTGAACAGGACAGTTGAGTGATTCTGGTTAGACTATGACAATAAAAGGTGAACAGGACAGTTGAGTGATTCTGGTTAGACTATAATAATGAAAGGTGAACAGGACAGTTGAGTGATTCTGGTTAGACTATGATAATGAAAGGTGAACAGGACAGTTGAGTGATTCTGGTTAGACTATGACAATAAAAGGTGAACAGGACAGTTGAGTGATTCTGGTTAGACTATGACAATGAAAGGTGAACATATCAAGTTGACCTACTTGTTTGTACTTCTTTCTGATACATGTATTGACCTACTTATTTGTATTTCTTTCTGATACATGTATTGACCCACTAGTTTTTATTTTTCTGATATCGACCTACTATTTGTCTCATACTGACCAACTTGTTTGTATTTTTTCTCAGAACAAATGACTTACTTGTTTGTAGGTGTGTTGACGAGGGCACTAGATATATTTTGGTCCATGAAGAACAGGAGAGAAAGACTAAAGCCAAGTCCTGCTGCTGCGAACACTGCTGCCGCTGGTAATGTGTGTATAGGTGCTACTCTAAACAGGGTCTCAGCAGGCTTATATTCAAATGGTTTTACTATCAAACAAGAAAAAATACAACCGTACTGTATTAAATTATCACATGAGTTAATAGCTATCTTCATCATAAACATTAAAATAACTTAAAGGGTCACAATAGCTCAATAAGTAGAGAATCAAACTAACAGTCCCCCCCCCCCCCCCCCCCCCCCCCCCCCCCCCCCCCCTGCATGGTGCTCAGTGAAGTTAACACCAGCTACATAACACGCTTTCATCGGATATCCCTTCTGATGACACACTTATATCAGATATCCCTTCTGATGACACACTTACATCAGACATCCCTTCTGATGACACACTTAAATCAGACATCCCTTCTGATGACACACTTACATTAGAAATCCCTTCTGATGACACACTTACATCAGACATCCCTTCTGATGACACACTTACATTAGAAATCCCTTCTGATGACACACTTAAATCAGACATCTCTTCTGATGACACACTTACATTAGAAATCCCTTCTGATGACACACTTACATCAGACATCCCTTCTGATGACACACATACATTAGATATCCCTTCTGATGACACACTTACATCAGACATCCCTTCTGATGACACACTTAAATCAGACATCCCGATGAGGTCAAGGGTCACCAGGACCTAGTCGGTCGGTTGTTCTGGAGCTCCGGTGAAAAATTATCTTTTTGTATGTTTGCACGATATATTGGAACTTAATTTTCTGTCAACATCTAGTTAATATGCTTAACTAGTTGACTGATATATCGGTCTGTGATATTTTCTTCGGAAAATATACTTTTGGAGCAGGAACTTTTGAGAACATGGACTGAGTCTAGTCACTGACCACTACTCACCACTTACGTATACCTGGCCGTGTATGTGTACACCTATAGATGGACTATCTACAGCCTATATATTCTGGAGCTTAGTTTTTTGTTTACTGGATATTGTTTATCATGCCTCCCAAGACCCTGCGAGATCGAGCTCCCAGCAGCAGGACCAGTGGTATTGGTACTAAATCCACAGACGATCGACTAGACGAGATATATGAGATCCTCAGGAATCTTATTACTGAGGATGTGTTGGATAAAAAGTTAGAGAAACTCCGTTTGGACATTCAGCTAGAACACGCAGAACGTATTGAAGCTCTGGAGGAGAGGGTAAACACCCTGGAAACTGAAAATAACAACTTGAAAGTGACAATTTCTGAGCTAGAGAACGAGTTATTGACCAGTCAAGATCGACAGAGTGAGATGGCGGGAAAGTATAACGACCTGGAACAACAAGGCCGGAAGAATTCTGTTAGAATCGTTGGACTTCCAGACCCGGGAGTGAGGGAATCGGTAGAGGACTGTGTCCAAACGATCGTGGGATTTGTACGTGACACCTTGAAAGTACCACTTCAGGAGAGGGACATTGACATCGCACATAGATTGGGAAAGTACAATGGTACAAATCCTAGGAATGTGATAGTAAAGTTCACGCACCGGAGAAAGAAGCATGAAATTATCCGCGCCCGCAAGATCCTGAAAGGTTCCAAGTTTGTTATCTATGAAGACCTTACTTCCTTAAATCAACAGAGACTGAAGGAAGCGTTCCGTATGAACTGTGTCAAAAATTCGTATAGCACAGACGGGAAAATATATGTGATTTTGACTAATGGCAAGAAGCGCAGACTTTTACACGATACACCCTTGGAAGAAAGTTACTTGATGAACGATGCTAATTTTGTATCAAGGAGATAGAAGTTGGACAGTGCACAGTGATCGGTAAATGACTTAATGCCAGTGTGTCTGGCAACCGATCACCTTTGTGTTGTATACTAATGTGCTTTTTTCTGTGGTGTACATGTATATGTGTGTTGTGTGATCAATTCTTCTGTGTGAAAAGGATATATATCATTACTGAAATTCCATTTGTAAAAGGTAAGAATAACTACGTAGTATTTTTTGTGACTTTAGATTTTAAAGTATGATAATGAGATATACACATGTAACGTCATTCAAAGTGAGCATATAGCTTGTTATAAATAATATATTTGTAACTGTCGTAATTTAAGAAAGATTTTTTAAGCTCCGAAAATAAATGGTATGTATATGCTATATTTTGAGGATGTCGTAGGTAGTAGTAGTATTTAAGTCCGTGGTAGTCCATAATATCTTGCTAATAACCTATATTGAGTAGCCAGGTATTATATGGGATATTATATATAACTTACAGAAATGCATGTATGCTATAATATAATTGGTGAACGTGTAGTTGTTTTATATATACTTCCGGTCCGGGTGGTCTCGGGAGGTCCCCCGGTCTATTCCGGACAGTTCCGCGGGCCGGTTCATTCTCCGTGCATTAGTATCAACACTTCCTGTTTGTCATTTCCGGTATAGCGGCACAAATTGTCTGATTGTCCGAAGTTTTCACGGCCAATAGGTTGTGTGTAAGTGTTGAGTGGTGGTGTAGCTCCTTTCTTGACCTTGTAAGATGCTTTTATCACAACCTTTCCCCCCTCTTATCCCCATTTCTTCTCCCTTTGTCTTGTTTCCTATTTCCCAGCTGGAAGGCTGCTCTTACGCATTCATTCAATTTCTCAGTTATGGATGATATCTGTGTACTCTCGGTGAACTGTCAGGGTCTTGGTGATAAAATTAAGAGGAAGGATGTTTTCTCATACTTAAGAGACAAGAAATACCACATCTACTGTTTACAAGACACTCATTTTTCAACAGAACAAGAAAATTTAATTAGAAATGAATGGGGGTATCACAGTTTTTTCAGTTCTTTCTCATCAAATTCTTGTGGTGTAGCAATCTTACTCAATAATAATTTTGAAAGTAAAGTTTATAGAGAAAAACGTGATTTAGATGGAAATTTTTTAGGGATTGATATTGATATTGAGGGTAGTAGATTGACACTTATAACCATTTATGGGCCTAATCAGGATAATCCAATTTTTTATACTCAGATTTCGGAAACTATTGACAGCTTTGGAAATGAAAATATAATAGTCTGTGGCGATTTTAACCTCGTGATTAACCCTGAGCTTGATTATGATAACTCATATAGAAACATCAACAATGCATCTGCTAGGGAGAAGGTGTTAGAAATCAGTGAGACATACAATCTTATAGACATTTTTAGAGAACTTCATCCAGATATTAAGAGATATACTTGGCGAAGAAAAAATCCTATTAAGCAGGCCAGACTAGACTTTTTTCTCACTTCAGACAGTTTATTATCCAGTACAAGAAAATCTTTCATAGAACCAAGTTATAGATCTGACCATTCGGCTACAGTAATAGCGTTAAAATTAAATGAATTTAAAAGAGGAAGAGGTCTCTGGAAGTTTAATAACTCATTATTATTTGAACTAGATTATTTAGACATGGTTAAGAAATGTATAGATGACATAAAATTACAATATTGCCTACCTGTATATAATCTTAACTCTGTTTCGCTTTTACCTAATACAGAAATTCAATTCTTAATTAATGATCAATTGTTTTTGGAGACATTGTTAATGGAAATAAGAGGCAAGTCAATATCATATGCATCTCATAGAAAGAAACAACAGAACCTTGAAGAAGAAAACCTGAAGAAATCTATCGAAATTATGGAAGCTAATATAGACACTGACCAGGAAGAATTAGATGTTAAAAAAAGAGAACTTGAAGCAATACGGTCAAAAAAAATAAAGGGCAGTATTATTAGGTCAAGGGCCAAATGGGTGGAGGAAGGGGAGAAACCAACTTCGTATTTTTTAAATCTTGAAAACAGAAACTTTACTTCTAAAATTATTCCAAAAATTCAGAAAGATAATGGGGACATAATTACCAATCAAGATGATATTTTAAAAGAAGTTAAACTATTTTACGAAAACTTATACAAACATAAAGAAGTTACCCCAATTGATTTGGATCATCATCTCCATGACTGCAGTGTCCCTAAGTTAACTGATGCTGAGTCCAATAATTTAGAAGGTATTATAACATTTGAGGAGGCAGGAAAGGTATTGAAAGATATGAAAAACAATAAGAGTCCGGGTTCAGATGGCTTTACTTCAGAATTTTTTAAAACTTTTTGGAATCTCATAGGTATTTTTGTGATTCGTTCGATTAATTATAGTTTTTCAGTGGGCCTTCTCTCAATTACTCAGAGACAAGGTGTTATAACTTGCTTACCTAAGGGAGATAAGCCCCGTCATTTTTTAAAAAATTGGAGACCAATCTCTCTCTTGAACATTACATATAAAATAGCATCTGGAGTAATTTCATATAGGTTAAAATCAGTTTTAGGAAAACTTATTCATGAAGATCAGACGGGATTCTTATCTGGGCGTTATATTGGGGAAAACATCCGCACTATTTATGATGTAATGCGTTATGCAGAAGATTTGAATATTCCAGGAATGTTACTAATGGTCGACTTTGAAAAAGCTTTTGACTCAGTTTCTTGGGATTTTATTGATAATGTTCTTCGTTACTTTAACTTTGGAGTGGATATTAGGAAGTGGGTAAAAATTCTGCATACTAATGTTTATTCAGTGGTTAATCAGGGGGGTAACATTTCTAGACCAATTAACATTCAGCGTGGTTGTCGTCAAGGCGACCCAGTTGCCCCATATATTTTTATACTAAGTGTTGAAGTTCTAGCTGCAAGAATTAGAAATAATGAAAATATCCAGGGTATACAAATTAATAATGTGTCTATTTTAAATGTGCAATATGCTGATGATACAGGTCTGATTCTGGATGGAACTGAAAAATCACTAAAAGAATCTATTAATGAGCTGAATACTTTTGCTAAGATATCAGGGTTAAATATCAACACCAGTAAGACACAGGTTATTTGGATAGGAAGTAAGAAATATAGTGAGGAAGCTTTTCTTCCAGAGTTAAATCTAATTTGGGGTAAGAATAAGTTTACTTTTTTGGGAATTGAATTTTGTGTTAACCTTAGTGAAATTCCTGGAATGAATTACGATAAGAAACTTGTTAAATTAAAGGCTCTTATTAATGTGTGGGAAAGACGAAGGCTTACTCCTTTAGGTAGAATCAGTATAATAAAATCTTTATTAATTTCCCAGTTCAATTATTTATTTATTACCCTACCAAATCCTTCCAACAGTTTTCTTGGTAAATTGAGCTCTATTTTATTTGATTTCCTCTGGAATGGCAAACAACACAAGATAAAAAAAGACGTGGTCATTCAGAACTACATAGACGGGGGATTAAAAATGATAGATATTGTAGCTTTCATAGATTCTCTCAAACTTGGCTGGATCAGAAGAATATTTCACTCATCAGGGAAATGGAAAATATTATTGAATTCTATTATAGATGAGAAAAAAATGTTAAATTGTGGGATAGAATATGTTAATTCTTGTTGCCTAAATTGTAGAAATCCATTCTGGAAAGATGTATTTAAAAGTATGATTAAACTTACTAACTCGGAACTTTTTAGACAATGTTATATCACATCTGTCTTAAAAAGTCCTTTGTGGTATAATAAAGACATTCAGGTGGGGAATAAATGTGTTTTTTATCCAAGATGGTTTAATGCAGGTATACATACCATAAATGACCTTGTAAAGAATTATGAAGACATGACATTTTATTCTTTTAATGAGTTTGGTAATCTTTTCCCAACAATCAACGCCAACTATCTGCAGTACTTTGGTCTAATTACATCTATGAAGAAATTTCTACGGAAGAATACACTTCAGGTTGTACAGATTCAACAACCTTTCATACCACTTTTTTATGAAATATTTTTCAAAAGTAAAAAAGGTTCAAAGGATTTTTATATTTGTTTAATTAAACGACCACCAATACCAACTGGAATTCAAAAATGGGGGATAGAGTTTGATTTTGATGAACAGAAGAGGAAAAATATTCTAAGAATCCCATTTACTATCACTAAAAACTCAAAACTTCAGTGGTTCCAAGCAAGAATTATTCATCGTATATTGGTCACAAATTCTTTTCTTTTCAAAATTAATTTAAGTCCTAGTCCTTTGTGTAATTTGTGTAATATGGAAAGGGAGACAATTATACACTGTTTGTGGGAGTGTGTCGAGGTGCAGACACTGTTAGAGAGATTTGAATCGTTAATCAACCTTTTCTTTATTCCATTTTGGATGAACAAAGAAACTTATCTCTTTGGTATTCTTTCTCCTACGGCTAATGTAGTAGATAATGAAATTTTGATTATTATTAAACAATATATATACAAGACAAGATGTCTGCACAAAACTCTAAGTTTAAATGGTCTCATAAATACAATAAAAGATCACTTCCGAGTACAAAAATATATTGTTTCCTCTAAAAATTGTCACATAAAAAGGAATTTTGAAAACAACTGGAAAAAATGGAAACCTGTTTTGGACTTATAAATTATATCTTGAGCTACTTTCTCCATTGACCTTGACATCACCACAATTTCAACCATTATTTCATTTTCCTCATTTTGACCTATATATTAACTGTAAAGGTTAAAATAGACAGTATCTGATAAAGCCCTCCAGCTTGTTTCTTTCTCTCTTCTCCCTCTTCAATCCATTGCCCCTTCTTTCCTTCCCCTCCGCCTCACCCTTTCCCATCTGTCATATGTAATGTGTGTATGATCTTGTGAGGATGTGTGTGTATATACGTGTGAGAGAGGGTGTGTGAGTGTGTGTGTGTGTACTCATCCCATAGAAGGTATGGGCTGGGCCAAATTCCGTAGCCACCTATATTTTCTGTTGGTTAATAGTCTGGATGTTTGATGATGATGATTATGATGATTGATGTTTGATGATGATGATGAGGATTGGTGCTTGTTTGATACATGTAATTCTTTGCGAATGATAATGATATGTTATGTACAATTTAGAGTGAAAATGATGTTAGGCCCTTAAATTGTATGGCGTGTCTGTGTATTGGTGTGTGAGGGCATGTGTGGCTTTGAAAGGCTGCAAGTGAAACATTTATGTTTTGAAAAATCTTTGAAAAATAAAAAATTATAAAAAAAAAAAAATCAGACATCCCTTCTGATGACACACTTACATTAGAAATCCCTTCTGATGACACACTTAAATCAGACATCCCTTCTGATGACACACTTACATTAGAAATCCCTTCTGATGACACACTTACATCAGACATCCCTTCTTATGTCACACTTACATCAGATATCGCTTCTGATGACACACTTAAATCAGACATCCCTTCTGATGACACACTTACATTAGAAATCCCTTCTGATGACACACTTAAATCAGACATCCCTTCTGATGACACACTTACATTAGAAATCCCTTCTGATGACACACTTACATCAGACATCCCTTCTGATGACACACATACATTAGATATCCCTTCTGATGACACACTTACATCAGATATCCCTTCTGATGACACACTTACAATAGATATACCTTCTGATGACACACAATAGAAATCCCTTCTGATAATACACTTACAATATATATCCCTTCTGATGACACACTTACATCAGATATCCCTTCTGATGACACACTTACAATAGATATACCTTCTGATGACACACTTACATCAGACATCCCTTCTGATGACACACATACATTAGATATCCCTTCTGATGACACACTTACATCAGATATCCCTTCTGATGACACACTTACATCAGACATCCCTTCTGATGACACACATACATTAGATATCCCTTCTGATGACACACTTACATCAGATATCCCTTCTGATGACACACTTACAATAGATATACCTTCTGATGACACACAATAGAAATCCCTTCTGATAATACACTTACAATATATATCCCTTCTGATGACACACTTACATTAGATATCCCTTCTGATGACACACTTACATCAGATATCCCTTCTGATGACACACTTACATCAGATATCCCCTCTGATGACACACTTACATCAGACATCCCTTCTGATGACACACTTACATCAGATATCCCTTCTGATGACACACTTACATCAGACATCCCTCCTGATGACACTATTACATCAGACATCCCTCCTGATAACACTCTTACATCAGACATCCCTCCTGATGACACACTTACATCAGATATCCCTTCTGATGACACACTTACATCAGACATCCCTTCTGATGACACACTTACATCAGATATCCCCTCTGATGACACACTTACATCAGACATCCCTTCTGATGACACACTTACATCAGATATCCCTTCTGATGACACACTTACATAAGATATCCCTTCTGATGACACACTTACATCAGACATCCCTTCTGATGACACACTTACATCAGATATCCCTTCTGATGACACACTTACATCAGACATCCCTTCTGATGACACACTTACATCAGATATCCCTTCTGATGACACACTTACATCAGACATCCCTCCTGATGACACTATTACATCAGACATCCCTCCTGATGACACTCTTACATCAGACATCCCTCCTGATGACACACTTACATCAGACATCCCTCCTGATGACACACTTACAATAGATATCCCTTCTGATGACACACTTACATTTGATGTCCTTGAAGACAATAGATCCAAAAATGGACATGACAATAACAGCAACAGGAAGTGCATAGTCAGCTAAAATCTCACGCTTGCTTGCATTTAAGAATGGTCTGCAAAATATAACAAACTGAGAATCGTGCTTAGACTTACAGTCAATGTAGGTCAGGCCTTAGTACAGAGAGGACATGTCAATCATACAAAATGTCAATGTAGGTCAGGCCTTAGTACAGAGAGGACATGTCAATCATACAAAATGTCAATGTAGGTCAGGCCTTAGTACAGAGAGGACATGTCAATCATACAAAATGTCAATGTAGGTCAGGCCTTAGTACAGAGAGGACATGTCAATCATACAAAATGTCAATGTAGGTCAGGCCTTAGTACAGACAGGACATGTCAATCATACAAAATGTCAATGTAGGTCAGGCCTTAGTACAGAGAGGACATGTCAATCATACAAAATGTCAATGTAGGTCAGGCCTTAGTACAGAGAGGACATGTCAATCATACAAAATGTCAATGTAGGTCAGGCCTTAGTACAGAGAGGACATATCAATCATACAAAATGTAAACATAGGTCAGGTCTTAGTACAGAGAGGACATGTCAACTAGTCAATCATACAAAATGTCAATGTAGGTCAGGTCTAAGTACAGAGAGGACATGTCAACTAGTCAATCATACAAAATGTCAATGTAGGTCAGGTCTTAGTACAGAGAGGACATGTCAACTAGTCAATCATACAAAATGTCAATGTAGGTCAGGCCTTAGTACAGAGAGGATATGTCAATCATACAAAATGTCAATGTAGGTCAGGCCTTAATACAGAGAGGACATGTCAATCATACAAAATGTCAATGTAGGTCAGGTCTTAGTACAGAGAGGACATGTCAACTAGTCAATCATACAAAATGTCAATGTAGGTCAGGCCTTAGTACAGAGAGGACATGTCAATCATACAAAATGTCAATGTAGGTCAGGCCTTAGTACAGAGAGGACATGTCAATCATACAAAATGTCAATGTAGGTCAGGTCTTAGTACAGAGAGGACATGTCAACTAGTCAATCATACAAAATGTCAATGTAGGTCAGGTCTAAGTACAGAGAGGACATGTCAACTAGTCAATCATACAAAATGTAAACATAGGTCAGGCCTTGGTACAGACAGGACATGTCAACTAGTCAATCATACAAAATGTAAACATAGGTCAGGCCTTGGTACAGACAGGACATGTCAACAAGTCAATCATACAAAATGTAAATGTAGGTCAGGCCTTGGTACAGACAGGACATGTCAACTAGTCAATCATACAAAATGTAAACATAGGTCAGGCCTTGGTACAGACAGGACATGTCAACTAGTCAATCATACAAAATGTAAATGTAGGTCAGGCCTTAGTACAGAGAGGACATGTCAACTAGTCAATCATACAAAATGTCAATGTAGGTCAGGCCTTGGTACAGAGAGGACATGTCAATCATACAAAATGTCAATGTAGGTCAGGCCTTAGTACAGAGAGGACATGTCAACTAGTCAATCATACAAAATGTAAATGTAGGTCAGGCCTTAGTACAGACAGGACATGTCAACTAGTCAATCATACAAAATGTAAACATAGGTCAGGCCTTGGTACAGACAGGACATGTCAACTAGTCAATCATACAAAATGTAAATGTAGGTCAGGCCTTAGTACAGAGAGGACATGTCAACTAGTCAATCATACAAAATGTAAATGTAGGTCAGGCCTTAGTACAGAGAGGACATGTCAACTAGTCAATCATACAAAATGTAAATGTAGGTCAGGCCTTAGTACAGAGAGGACATGTCAACCAGTCAATCATACAAAATGTAAATGTAGGTCAGGCCTTAGTACAGACAGGACATGTCAATCATACAAAATGTCAATGTAGGTCAGGCCTTAGTACAGAGAGGACATGTCAACTAGTCAATCATACAAAATGTCAATGTAGGTCAGGCCTTAGTACAGACAGGACATGTCAATCATACAAAATGTCAATGTAGGTCAGGCCTTAGTACAGACAGGACATGTCAATCATACAAAATGTCAATGTAGGTCAGGCCTTAGTACAGAGAGAGGACATGTCAACTAGTCAATCATACAAAATGTAAACATAGGTCAGGCCTTAGGAGAGGACATGTCAATCAATCATACAAAATGTACAGACAGGACATGTCAAGGAATCATACAAAATGTAAATGTAGGTCAGGCCTTAGTACAGAATCAGACATGTCAACTGTCAATCATACAAAATGTCAATGTAGGTCAGGCCTTAGTACAGAGAGGACATGTCAATCAATACAAAATGTCAACATAGTCAATCATACAAAATGTCAATGTAGGTCAGGCCTTAGTACAGAGAGGACATGTCAATCATAGGTCATGTCAGGCCTTAGTACAGAGAGGACATGTCAATCATACAAAATGTCAATGTAGGTCAAGCCTTAGTACAGAGTAGGAGGACATGTCAACTAGTCAATCATACAAAATGTAAATGTAGGTCAGGCCTTAGTACAGAGAGGACATGTCAACTAGTCAATCATACAAAATGTAAACATGTCAGGTCAGGCCTTCATACAAAATGTACAGACAGAGGACATGTCAATCATCATACAAAATGTAAATGTAGGTCAGGCCTTAGTACAGACAGGACATGTCAACTAGTCAATCATACAAAATGTAAACATAGGTCAGGCCTTAGTACAGACAGGACATGTCAACTCAGGCCTTAGTACAGAGAGGACATGTCAAAAATGTAAATGTAGGTCAGGCAGGCCTTAGTACAGAGAGGACATGTCAACTAGTCAATCATACAAAATGTAAATGTAGGTCAGGCCTTAGTACAGAGACAGGACATGTCAACTAGTCAATCATACAAAATGTAAACCTAGGTCAGGCCTTAGTACAGAATCAGGACATGTCAACATAGTCAATGTAGGTCAGGCCTTACAAAATGTAAAGGCCTTAGTACAGACAGGACATGTCAACTAGTCAATCATACAAAATGTAAATGTAGGTCAGGCCTTAGTACAGAGAGGACATGTCAACTAGTCAATCATACAAAATGTAAACATAGGTCAGGCCTTAGTACAGACAGGACATGTCAACTAGTCAATCATACAAAATGTAAACATAGGTCAGGCCTTAGTACAGACAGGACATGTCAATTATTCAAAATGTCAATATAGGTCAGGCCTTAGTACAGAGAGAGGACATGTCAACTAGTCAATCATACAAAATGTAAACATAGGTCAGGCCTTAGTACAGAGAGGACATGTCAATCATACAAAATGTAAACATAGGTCAGGCCTTGGTACAGACAGGACATGTCAACTAGTCAATCATACAAAATGTAAACATAGGTCAGGCCTTGGTACAGACAGGACATGTCAACTAGTCAATCATACAAAATGTAAACATAGGTCAGGCCTTGGTACAGACAGGACATGTCAACTAGTCAATCATACAAAATGTAAACATAGGTCAGGCCTTAGTACAGACAGGACATGTCAACTAGTCAATCATACAAAATGTAAATGTAGGTCAGGCCTTAGTACAGAGAGGACATGTCAACTAGTCAATCATACAAAATGTCAATGTAGGTCAGGCCTTAGTACAGACAGGACATGTCAACTAGTCAATCATACAAAATGTAAACATAGGTCAGGCCTTAGTACAGAGAGGACATGTCAACTAGTCAATCATACAAAATGTAAATGTAGGTCAGGCCTTAGTACAGACAGGACATGTCAACAAGTCAATCATACAAAATGTAAACATAGGTCAGGCCTTAGTACAGAGAGGACATGTCAACTAGTCAATCATACAAAATGTCAATGTAGGTCAGGCCTTAGTACAGAGAGGACATGTCAATCATACAAAATGTCAATGTAGGTCAGGCCTTGGTACAGACAGGACATGTCAATCATACAAAATGTCAATGTAGGTCAGGCCTTAGTACAACTAGGATACATCAATATGTCAATTATACAAACACTCAAAATCTATCTCTTTACTAGTTTGAAAAAAATGTATATATATATATATATATCTGAACATGGTTACACAACTGATTGAGGAAGAGATTTTTTTACTCGATCTACCACACCAAGGTGCCTTGCCATGAAATTTGACAACTACACTACCTTGAAATCTCATTGCCCAACTTCTCTATGCTTTAAAACTTTTTCATGGGTATTTAAACTTCATGGTAAAGCATGAAAAACTATCAATTTCATTTACAAAATATTATGATTCATGTTGATGCTCCATTCAATGAATTGAATTTGAGCAAAAATGATGAAGGCAATTGTACTGATAGTGAAATAAAATATTACCTAGATAAATATTCATGAATAATACATACGTTTTTGTGAAGTTATAAAGTGTGAGTCCTGTCCACACAGTACCAAGCATTAGTAACAGAAATAGTATACTGTTCTCCCTCAGACACTCGCCAACACCGGACATGTGGGTCAGCACTGCACTGTCATTAGTAACAGTGTCCATGGCAAAAGTAGTCATGGTGTTAGTCAGGTTAGCAACACTACTGTTAGATGTGGCGCCTGATTGGACGGCTGGATGTGTATCTCCCTCACATGCGGGAGTGTGGTAGTTTTTATTAAAATCTGAAAATAAAGAGATTGAGCAAGAGATACATTACAGAACAATATCAAAGTGATAGAACAGATACAGATGTCTTACAGAATACAGTTAGAGTAATAGAATAGATAGCAGTAATGTGTTATGGAATACAGTTAGAGGTTTGGAAAAGATAATTGTTACAGCATACTGGAAAAGTAAAAGAATAGAGATAATGTGTTTCAAAATACAGTTAGAGTAATAGAATAAATAAAGATTATGTGTTACAGCATAGTAAGAGCATTGAATTAGATAGAGATGATGTGTATCAGTATACAGTTAAAGCAATGGAATATATTGAGATGAAGTGTTACAGAATACAGTTAGATTAACTGAATGTATAGAGAAAATGTGGTACAGAATAAAGTTAAGAGTAATGGGGAAAAAAAGAGATATGTGAATTACAGAATACAGTTATAATATTGGAATAGATATAGATATGCTACAGAGTACAGTTAGAGACTTGGAGGAGATAACTATTACAGCATACAGGAAGAGTATTTTAATAACTAGATATTTACTGACTAAAGTTTTCGAGTACTAGAAAAGAAAAAGATATATGACTGACAGAATAGAATTAAAATATTAGAAAAGACACAGATATGCTATAGAATACAGTTTGTTGGAACAGAAAGTGATAATTATAAAAATACAGGACGAGTATTAGAATAATCCGATACATGTTACAGATTAAAGTCAAGATATTGGAATAGTCAAAAGATACTGAATTAAAGTAACAGTATATCTAAATATACCGTATCTATCCTGAAATAAGCCCAGGTCATACTACAGGACACATATTGTAGCTTCTGACCTAAAGTGGTGGGTAGGGCTGATTAAAGGACAATGATAAAGTAACTAAGTTCCCATTTTTTTCTGAAATTGCAATAAATATGTATGGGCTTATTACCACAAAAGAGCTTAATGCTGGATATCAATACGGGGTATGTTATACAATACAATTAGAATAACTGTTTAAGAATACAAACAAGCTATAGATTACCAAGAATATTTTTTGCGATACTGTAAATTACACACCGACAAGAGCTATAATATTCTGCCTCTGATACCTGTCAATATTTGTAGAAATGGATATAGCCCTTGAACTACCTCTAATCTAGAGCTTTTAAGTCTGCCTCTATCTATTGGGAAATATACATTCTTATGTATTATTCTTTTAACCCATCTCTGAAGAAAGCTGTCTCTTACATGAGGTTTTCACACTAGGGACATGTAATAGTTCTAGACTTTATGAACCTTACTTGCTGTCTTTAATTACCTCAATGAAATAAAATAATAAAATGATTAACAAATTAATTTTCATAAAGATCACACTTTTTTCAAAACAGAATACTCGCGTTACCATCTGTAAAAACTACCAAAGCCATAAAATTTATCTGATAACTTTCATTATCTCTTAATATTTATAGTTTTCTACTCTATAACTCTCCCTAATATAGCTCATCCTGAAAGTTCCACATCTTTGGTATTATGGGGGGAAACTGCTGATACTTTTTCCTGTATTTTCCTGTATAAATATTCAAAAGATGAGACGAAAATGTCAACAATAACATTCCTGTACAAAACATCTCTGTTGAGACTGTTTAATTAAAACAAAGACAATTTCCAAGTATTACCTGTAACAGTACATCTCTGTTGAGGCTGTTTATGTAAAACGAAGACAATTTTTTAAGTATTACCTGTAACAGCATATCTCTGTTGAGACTGTTTAATTAAAGGAAATTTTGAAGTGTTACCTTTTAAGGTGTCTTTTATGGCATCAGCAGAAAAGGCAAAAGTGATGAATATGGAAAAAATCTCTTCTGTAGACCTGAAACATTGATAATATTAGATAAGTTTAAAGGAAAACGGCGCACCAGCGCCATCAATCATCAAGGCATTTGCTGAATGAAAAATCATCTTCTGGACTATGGACAACTGCTGAATGACGAAACATCAACTGGTCTACTAGATGATTGTTGATTGAAAGCATGGCGATCTGCTTACTGGACAGCTGGTGACTTACAGCTTTGTGGTCAGTCTGCAGAAGTATGAACAGCTGCTGACTGATAACTCTGTGGTCAGTCTATTGGCCTGGGGACAGCTGGTGACTTACAGTGCTATAGTAAGTCTATTGGCCTGGGGACAGCTGGTGACTTACAGTGCTATAGTAAGTCTATTGGCCTGGGGACAGCTGGTGACTTACAGTGCTATAGTAAGTCTATTGGACTGGGGACAGCTGGTGACTTACAGTGCTATAGTAAGTCTATTGGACTGGGGACAGCTGGTGACTTACAGTGCTATAGTAAGTCTATTGGATTGGGGACAGCTGGTGACTTACAGTGCTATAGTAAGTCTATTGGATTGGGGACAGCTGGTGACTTACAGTGCTATAGTAAGTCTATTGGATTGGGGACAGCTGGTGACTTACAGTGCTATAGTAAGTCTATTGGATTGGGGACAGCTGGTGACTTACAGTGCTATAGTAAGTCTATTGGACTGGGGACAGCTGGTGACTTACAGTGCTATAGTAAGTCTATTGGACTGGGGACAGCTGGTGACTTACAGTGCTATAGTAAGTCTATTGGACTGGGGACAGCTGGTGACTTACAGTGCTATAGTAAGTCTATTGGACTGGGGACAGCTGGTGACTTACAGTGCTATAGTAAGTCTATTGGACTGGGGACAGCTGGTGACTTACAGTGCTATAGTAAGTCTATTGGACTGGGGACAGCTGGTGACTTACAGTGCTATAGTAAGTCTATTGGATTGGGGACAGCTGGTGACTTACAGTGCTATAGTAAGTCTATTGGACTGGGGACAGCTGGGGACTTACAGTGCTATAGTAAGTCTATTGGATTGGGGACAGCTGGTGACTGGGACCAAATTTTACTTTGATTTATCTTATATTTATCTGACTTAATAAACTCTGAAAAGGAGCATGGAAATGCACCACCAGACCATGGTTCGAACCCAGGCCCTCTGAACTCCTGATGGACACTCCACCAATTGAACCACCTAGTTGCCGATGATCAAACCAGTCCAGTTCCACTAAATTCCTCATCTCCAAAAACAAAACTATTAACAACCAAATTTCGAGTTTCCTCTTGTCAAGCACTCACCTACCTGAAACAAGGGTTGGTCGCAGGTAAGTATGTAACAGGAGCAGAAAAATACAATGCCAGACCTGGGTTCAAACCCCAGACATAATCCAAATTCTACACACACACTCTACCAATTAAGCTACCTGGTTGCTGATGATCGACCCAGCCTAGTTCCACTACCACTCTATCATCATGTTATCAGACATTGAAGATATTACCATTTATTAATAGAACCCCAACATTGACAAACGTTTAGTTTTAACACTAGGATAATAAACATTTATATACATTCATTACTTACCTTGAAGAATACTTCATCAATTTGCTGAGGTTGAGGAACACATAAATGAAGAGAAAGAAAGCATTCCACAATCCAACACAAGCAAACATGGCATAGAAGTCTAGATCAAAATCCTCGCATACATTGTAGATCACTGCAAAGTAATAAACACCTCAGGAAATTTCATTCCACAGAAACCAAGGTAAAAGTGGATCCATGATGAAAAATATAATATAATATGATATAATATAATGTAATATAATGTAATATAGTATAATGATATATAATATAATATAATATAATATAATAAATATAATATAATATAATAAATATAATATAATATAATAAATATAATATAATATAATATAATGTAATATAATGTAATATAATATAATATAACAATATAATATAAACTTTGTTTATTTTACAACAATTGTCAAACAAGCTATCTGTTTACATTGATTACTATTGTTAGCCCAGATGTAAGTGTGTGAGGGGTCTTATTGTCACAGGAAAATAGAGTATCCAAGTAAAACCCCAAATAGTTGGGTAGGTGACCTCATACCTTTTCCAGAAAGCTAGTAAAATGTGAGGGCATTACCATTGCACCATCCAACCACCCAGTGATAAAAAAATCAGTATGAATTAATGATAATTACACACTTTCAAAGAATTCCCAGAGAAAATGTCTCATTAATCTACTTCCAGAGAGATACACAATGTTTAAATATCTAAGCCTATGCAGTTACATAGTCTTTCTATTTTACCTTACCATTTCAGGTTATTTTATCAAGCACTATGCTTCTTTCACTAAGCATTTACCTATAAGAATTGCTCTGAGCAGCCTACACTTTCACTTTTTATACATAGTATTGTTAAGGCCTATTCACATTCACAAATCATAAAAGACATGAGGCATATGGCTAGAGTTGAAGTGTACTTATATCGTCCTTGACGATAAGTTTGACCTACGTTTGGTGTAGAGTGCCAAAGGAGCGGTGGTGAGAAGGACAATGAGTGGCTGGCCACCAAACACACTAAACAGCACTCCACCAAAACACTGTGAAAACAGGATCTTCTGCATATCTGTGAAAGTAAAGTGAAATCAGACATACGTTACAAACACAACCTATTGTCTTAAGACAGTAAAATCAAAATAGGAAAATTTTCGTGATAATTGATTTTAGAGTGATCCTTGGGAGATATTTTATATTATACAATATACACTTAGAATCATTACTGAAGGTTTGTCCTCACCTATGGCTCCATGAGTGTTGTTGTTGTTCAGCATACCAAAAGCGATATTGGGGAGGACACATGCAAAGTACAGGAAGAAAACAGTTGACACAACCTTGTGGATGGTCTTGTGGCCAATAATACCTGTAAAAATATAATCAATCTGTTATCGTCGTTAAATGATACTTTTTTCCTGGACAGGTGTATTTACTCACCCACAGAAAGACAAGGATGATGATGACGTCATCACAATAATATACATAAGGCCAGCAGGGTGAGAGAAATACAACTTAAAAGCCTTACCCCTAAGGTTGAGATCTTCTGTCTCACCAAAGAGGGAGTGAGAGATTCTATTCTTCTTTTTTATTTTCTGTAGAAACAAGTTTTCGCTGTGATTACTGGTAAACTTCTCTTTGCATTCTATCGACTTTGTTCTGAGAACACGAGGATTTCATTCAATGACTTGGTTCTTGCTAAGGTACTTGAAGTTGAGATATAAATGGGTAAACAAATCTCTTGTTCTCTTACATTTAAGACAATCACTATGTAAATCTTGGCAAACTTGAATAATACTATGTTCTCAAAGTTAAAACTGTGGCAATAAAATGGTTTACTGATGAGAATTATCAAAACTATTGCAGTATATAATCATCTATTGCAAAATTAAACTGAAAATTTCTTTTAGATCATGATGGTGATCATTTAATCTTGACCCTGACTGTTTGTCAATTTGGACCACAAATTAAACTTGCCTATGAAATCTTCTTTCTGTACCATGAGTAACATGACCTTGGGCTTTCCTCTGGTTAACAACAGGCATTCATTTGATAAAGAATTGTGACCTTGACTAGGGGACAGACATAAAACACTGCTCCATACTGTGCTGGGATAAGAGCCAGTAAAAGCTCAGTGAGATCAATAACAAGGTCATCTACTTACAAAGTCTGTCACCTTAAATCAGCCACCCCTGTTATAGGGGACCAGGGTGTAATTAATGTGTGAACAATGTGACATCTCAGTGAGTATCATACCGAGTTGTCTGTGATAAAGCTTTAGACCACAGTCAGTCTCCGCACCCTTACCACCTCTAACTACACCACAGTCAGTCTCCGCACGCTTACCATCTCTAACTACACCACAAGAAGGCCAAAGATTCTTGAGACAAGCTTTCCACTGTAATTATTATTGATGGTTGGTTTTGACTGAGTAAAGCATCAAATCATTAGAGATATTTTATCAAGGTATTCAGATATCATTCTGATATATATGTTTAGGAAGGTTTTGACTGAATAAAACAATAAATGATAATGGATACTAGCTCAGCACAGTTTAATTGTAGTGTAGATGTTACAGGGGAGTTTGGGACAGAGTCCTGAAAGTTCAGAATATCCACCTTAGCATAGTAGAGCTATAGAACAGTGAAAATATTGATTTATAACACCTTATATATTATATACATCAGTGATACTACTCTTCCCTCTGGTCATCCCGCTGATGACGGTGACAGTGTAACCATTAAATTCTATACATCAGTGATACTACTCTTCCCTCTGGTCATCCCGCTGATGACGGTGACAGTGTAACCATTAAAACACATACATTTCTTCATGGCTGTGATTTAAGATTTTATATCTTTTTATATACATGTATACCAACCTAGAAATAGTGTTTGACAAAAAAGATTGTAGTCCAGGAGATGGCCTACCGGAAGCATCATTTAACTGAGGTTCAAATGAAAGCAAATAATTCCATGCTAAGTAACATTTTTTAGGTCAATATGCCTTATTTATCCAGTAATAAGCTCATGCCTGGCAATAAGTCCACCTACACATATTATATCACTGCTCTGTCAAAACCACACCTTCCTTCTTTGAGTCAATGACTAAGCTTTCTACACTGAGCCAGTTATTTAGCTTCCAACCTTGAGCCAATTATTTTACGTCCTACTTTGAGTCAGTTATTCAGTGTCCTAATTTGAGTCAATTTTCTAACTTACAATTTTGAGTCAGTTATTGAGTGCCCTACATTTCATCAGTAATGAGCTTTCTACTTTGAGTCAATTACTCAGCTTCCAACTTGGAGTTAGTTATTTATATTCCAACTGTAAGTCACTTATTTTGCTTCGTATCGTCCTACTTTCCTAATTTTACATTGGCCTGCTATGATATGGCTTTGGAGACATAAGCACCCCAGCATCTGTCCCCTATCTTGTTAGATCCTGAAAGGTATTTGTTAGAGAGATACAGTATAAGTACAGATTAGAAGTGACCAACCCTCATGTATGTGGACTAGAGAATTAAAGCTTAATGAGAATTTATAGGTGTCTGGACTTAATCCTGATAGGTTGATGGAGGTATGCCTATAATATTACCACCTACAGTGCCCAGTCTTCCGTTAGATCTCTCTGTAACAACTCGGTACATAAACCCTACATGATTGTGATTCAAACATGTCTATTTATGTCCAGTAGTGCAACACACCAGACCTCTTATTTAAAATTTTAATGAGCCATCACGATACATTAATCATGTGGGGTCTTGTTCAGTACACCAGACTTCATTAATAGTACAGCAGGAACTAAATTTAAAGTTAAATAATTCATGAAGAAATGTCATATGATGACATGCAACTTCAACATTTCTCAAAACAACAAGAGGCAAACTGGCCATGTGACTTATCTTTTAGTGCAGCTAATCAAGAGAAGACATGATGAAAGGTAAAAGTCATTGTGAAACTTGAGAGCTTTTCTCCCAAGCATATTACTTAACAAATATCATGACTCTCGGCATTTCAGTTATTGGAAAGAAGTGGTTTGAACATTTAAACATAATTCCATTATGTGAACCTTTAAAGTGGGTCAATGTCATTCATCTTGACAAACCTGAAAGTCCTTTTCCTAATTTGACTCTTACACCAATATGCTACAGGTCAAACGTCATTACTTAAAGGCAGGTGAGGTGAAATATTATCAATGGAGTTGTTATTATTTTTGTCTACATCTCACAGAGGTGAATATTTTTTTCAACACAGGAAAATACTGGAGCAATATGTAAAGTGATGACATTATCAAATAGTACTTGGTTTCACTACATAAAGTGATGATGTCATCAAATAATACTTGGTTTCACTACATAAAGTGATGATGTCATCAAATAGTACTTGGTTTCACTACATAAAGTGATGATGTCATCAAAAGGTACCTGGTTACACTACATAAAGTGATGATGTCATCAAATGGTACCTGGTTACAATCCCTTCTGTAACCGGTGATGTTAAAGCTTATGAGATTTATCTGTCTCAAGCAAACTGGGGAATGCAAATGTACTAATTTAATTCTACCATGTTTGTGATAGACTACAAGTACATCACTACTATCCTGTACCTCTCTATCTCACATCTTACTTGTGAAAACTTCATCATATCTCAGATCCCTTATTGATTTATATCCAATGTTTCACAAAGCAAATTGAGACACAGAGGAAAATGAAGGTTAAACTTCAACTGACAACAAAGCTATCAAAATTTTACAGCTTTAACAGCCACATTTTGAAAGAGGTACAAAATAACCCATACATACAACTCCTGATACCGAATGGCCTCAAGTAGAATACTTTATCATCAACACCATTGAAAAGTTCAACTGAAGGGTCTTCGAGAAGAAATTTTAAAGACTACCCAAAAGAGTGTCAGAAAACACCTTATATATCACTTCTTAGATCAATAATGAACTGTGGCAATATTATTCTGAACCCTTATCCAAAATCTACAGCCAGAGTAGAAGTCTATTTTACATCTGCAGCCAAGGGGAGACAATTCTTACAACATCAACTGTGTGTTTACTTGGTGGCAGTTACAAAACAAAGTATAGTGTTACCCTGATTAGTGGTGTAAGGACAGGTCAACATATCAATGTACTGTAATAGCTTTGCGCTCGATAGCAATAGTTTTATAACTAAACAAAAACGCTACTTGAAAGCAAGATTTTCCATCAAGTTATAGCCAAATGGTTGCAAGCCTTCGTATATGAAAGTGCCTTTTGGATCTCAATTACTTGCTAATTACAAGAAACTGGCACATTCACCTATCTAAAATGGAAACAGAATTTTAAACACAAGTTGTTACCTTGATGAGGATTTATATCTTAAATAAGTGTTATATTGTTATTTTTCTAATATGATGTAATTAAATCTACAAATATAGTATGGGAGGTGGCAATTTCTCCGATAACTCTGGGGCCATGTTTCAGACCCATCCTTGAAATGACCTATTTTGATTAACAACAAGGGGGGAGGTAGTGGTATTTTAACAAAATCATTCTGAATGAAAACACAAAAATCAGCTGAAAATTAATGACAAAGTGTCACAAAACTGATCCCAATTAAACTACAATTTGTGAAGTTACAGGCACCTTCATCTGATAAATAATCATCCTACCTTTAGTTACTAGATTTGTACTGAATTTTTCAACATGACTCTGCCAATGATGTATGAAGTATGTCAAACTTACTGTCAAAACCAAACAATCATATAATTATTGAATGAATTAATCACCTTTTAAAACATAAAAAAAATTGAAATAAAGAAGAATTATACTAAATTTAATGTAAAACTAAGGCTTATATGAAAATAATTGTCTTGAGTCCAGCTGTGTATGAGTTTCACAACAAATCTCACAGAATAGCGTGTTTATGTATAAAATATAACAAGGATCATTGTTCAACCTACTTGATTCTATGAAAATTATAAATATTTTTTATCAGTCTTAGCATTTGTTAAATTGTGCATTCTGATACATTTGAATGGTTTGTGGCCTCACTTTATTTCTGGGTTAGAAAACATATTTTAAAGGTAAGAAAGAACTATCGTGCTAATATCACAATAGTCATGTGACTATAGCAACGATACTACAATACTAATTTTACTATTGCAATACTGTTGTGATAACTTTTTTGGCCTCAGTAGTCCTAACCTTGATATCTTGTTTCCTGTTGATACACTGACTGACAAATATGTGTCCAATAACCTGCATGTATGTTTACAAGTATCCTACCAAAACACACAATCTTTGAATAATTAAGACACATAGCTGAATGATAGGAATAAATCAAAGATATTCAAACATATTCCAACACCAAAAACACCAA